ACGTCCGCGTCTGCGCGGACGCCTTTGCGCACGCCCTTGCCGATGATACCTGCGTGGAACACCGACGTATGGCTTTGAGTCAGCTGCGTTATTGGACCCTGAAAATGCAAAATGCGTGTATTGCTTCCACAGCTGCCCTACATTGTCCGGTTTTGATTATCATCCTTAACCAATTATATGTCCCAATTTTGTTGATTCTTTTTTTGTTGGAAAGAGGGTTCTCAGTACTGGTCCCATTTAAATTTTGAAGAAAAGATTCTACCTCTATGGGTGGCAAACTAGGGGATGAATCCGGTTTCGCGCATTTTCCATTAACCGATTTCAATAAAACTTGACAAATAGATAGAATTAATTCCAAGAACTTTTGTGAGCGGTTTTTTTTTTATAAAAAAGTTAAAAGGTCGTAGGTTCGAATCCAGGCTTTTATATAACTTACATGTTTCTGATTTAAATGTATTAACAACTCTTCATCCGTCCAATCCTTCGTGGCGGCCACAGTATTAGCGACCACAGTGCGACTGCCGAAAGCATGTTCTTCTCTGAACATGGCTGTTTCGAGCAGATCTCTAAGAGCGACCGCTCGAGCGAGTTTGCTGGGTAGGCAAAGCTTGCGGAGCAGGCGGCACGCCATTTGAACGCCGCGAAGTTTGTCCATTATGTCTGAAACATGTAAACAGTGGACATATTTAGTAACTGGCTGTGGGCAGTCAATCTTTATAGCCAGCGCAATCTGGTGGACGGCGGGGCATCAAAGAGGATTTTATGCCCGTCGGCGCACACCGATGAGGTATAGGATATCCCTTACGATACCGCGAGTCACACCTCTCAATAACCTCAGAATATTCAAATAATAATAATATCTAGGAAATGAAACTATTTTTCCGGATTTAAATTGCGTATATTTTTGTTTTTTGAAACAATAATAATATCGTTTATTGCAAAACATGTTATATTTAGGTGTTATAGTAGCTGGTAAAGTATCACACATGTATCCTGTAAGGGCGCAGCAATCTCAATTTTTAACCTATACATTATTAATTATAATATTGTTGCAATGAAAATAAATAAATCTAAGCAAATATATTCAGAAAGTAAAATGATTTCATTTTTAAATGACTGTCAAATTTAAAGTATTTTAAAAATGAATAAATTTATTTGTTAATAATTAAAAATTAATTAATTATTAATTAATTGTCAAATTATCCTAGTATTATATAATAATAATAACATTTGTCTATCAAATCTTCGTGATAATCGAGTTTATTTACTCCGTGATATTATTATTATGCATTTATTTATTAAATTACATAATTATAATATCATATTTTTATAACACAGATAACATATTAACATCAAAGACAAGGAGTCTTTGATGTTAATATAATGCATGAAAAAAATATTCAACACAAACGTAGCTATTTCGCATGATTTAACCTTCACTGGGTTCGCGGAGTAGCAAATTAATTATTTATTTTTTATTATTATTTCCATTTTTATTAAAGAGCTCTATTGCTACTAAAATAACGTATAAATAATAACGTATGATCTCTTACCTTCCTCATGCAAGCATCTGAAGAAATACTTCACAGTTGCTTGCACTACTTTCAATATGACTTCAACACTCGGCTGAGGCGCTTTGGTGCCCGCCAAGTCTACTCTGTCCAATACCTAGACACATAAAGTCATTCAAGTTTTATTAACTGAAGGTATATGGACAAGACAACTTAAGATTTAAATTGAACTGTACGATAAAAACGATCAAAAATGTCAAGATAGGTGTAGTCTAGCGTAAGTTAAGGCGGGCAATAACTGTATGCCAACGATATGATTAGAAGAATGCTGCCGCCGCAAGTTGAAAGGGCGCATGTGACACTTTTTAAAAATTGAGTTACATGTACTGCCGTGATCTGTAAAAAAAGACAAATCTACCACAATTTTTTTTCCTAGATCAATTAGGTATGAAGCTACCGTAAAGAGAAAAGGGCGTAAGTACCCACACTTTTATGGTTATTTGGACTAAGTTATTTAGACGCAGTTAGAAAATAAATTGGTAAAAAGACGTAATTGCGTAGATACATAATTTTGTTTTAACTGCACATTTCAATCATTTAAGTAAATGAAAAGACGCAAGTCTCATTTAAGTTTCTATCTTCTTCAGTCAAAGCTGTACATATATGTATTTACCGAAAAATGTTAATTTCCCAGATGACAGTCACACAATGCTGACATGAATTTAAAATATTTTTTTTTCAATTGTATTTACGCTAAGCTGAAAAGGCATAAGCGCACCCATCTTACCTAGTATTGAGTATTTTACGAACATTTTTTTACTAAGATGAAAAGGAAAAAGGTTATTAATTGATAATTGAGCATAAATAATTAAATATTTTATTTTTACATTATGCATATAACGTAAACCTATTATATTGCGTTTGCAGCAAGTGTCTTTGTCTTTTCGTTTGGCGACAGCAGACATTTTCATATTTTTTTCTTTGAACATTATTTTCTCGGATTTGACTTTTTGTCACAAGTGCCCTTTTAACTAAGGGCGGCAGAATGCTTCTAAGCCAGTTACAAAGTCGAATTGCACGCTTATGCGTCGATACAACATCAAGTGGCTTTGGTTGATACTGCATAACAGTGAAAGTGTTGAATTAAAAAAAATATTATAGAAAAATCACGGAAGAACAGAATGGAAAACATTACATGAGAGCGATTTGTAGTAATTTTTGAATAAATGAAATGAAATCGCTCTCTTGTAACATTCTCCAAATGCACGTTACACGTTTTACCCTTCCAGGGTCGATATAGGACAAAATAGGAAAAGACGTGACAGAAAAGAAGTGTACCTCGGCGAGGGCATGGCAAGTGGGCATCTCGTCGAGGCTGGCGGTGGTGCAGTGCGGCCTCGTGCGCAGCAGCGAGGCGCGGTCGGCCAGCGCGCCGCCCAGCCGGAACAGGTTGGCCTCCGCCGCGCGGCCCAGCGGACGCGCGCGCAGCTGCGGCACGCGCCCCGAGTTCTCCCATCTGCGACAGTCCATTGCAATCGGATGAATAACAGTATGTAGCCGTAACGCGCTCCTAAGAACAGACCCGTGCCCGGCAGTGAGATCTAATAATTCTCAAACTTTTGCAGGCGTGGCCACAGGAACTCTACTAGTCGAGACTTTTATAGCAATCGCATTAATAGACCCGTGCCTAGTAGTGGGATCTAATACTTCAGAAACTTTTGTGGGCATGAATTACTTAAGAAAGTTTTATCGGAAACTGAATCTGAGAAGAATGTGCAAGAAACTCTAGGGGATCGGAATAATAGATCGAAGTAATATGCATACGGGACATTGACTTACAAATAAAACGGGACAAAAAATAAACATACATTCAATTTCATATAATACAGGCGTTGAATAAAAGAAAATCACTGTTTTTTTATTTATTTTAAACACTCGCTTCTGCACATGCCTGAAAGGTTATTATTATAATTGCTATTGAAACAGACTTTTATTTGTTGAAGTATTTCAGTGACGTTATACATGTCGATTTGCATTCAACAACGAAAACAGATTTCAAAATGCATTTACCTGCATTATGAATATTAAACAGCTACTTGACAATACAAATATTAGTCTTGTAAAATGGTTAGATTGTAGTTATAAGGTTTTGTTTTGCTTTATAACAAATTAAAAAAAAAATATTAAAAACACGACATTCAAAATCAAAATCTATTTAAGATCAAGAACATTCTTATTGTGGTAGAACTCTTGGACATTTGATTATAAGCTTCATCCATGCCGGGATCTTATTTGAAAAAAAAAAGGAAAATAAATAATAAACTCACCTCAACAACTTGATGATATTCAAACAATAATGATGCAGATAAGTTTTCTGATCTTTCGTCTCGGTGCCTTCAATAAAACATCTCTTAATCTGTTCATCCGATATCATAGCATCTCTTAACGCGTACTCAACGCCTGTTTTTATATAATTATGGTACTTTTCGGTGTCCAAGTTGACATCTGGACTATCATTGGGTATATGCATCGTGATAGTACCGGAGATAATGCGGACGAGTAATGCTAAAGTTGTGTCGTTTCGAGAGTGCTGGAGAAGGTAGCTTATTGTGCTCACGAATTCGGACGGGAGATTGTAACCTGAAATCAAATAACATCATATTTAACGCGACCATTATCTTTTTCCCTCAGAGCGGGACGCCTGTAAATTTATTATTGTTTTAAACCTGAACAGTGAACAGCTTTTAAATCTGTATAAACCACAAGTTCGATCGTATGTCATGCTACCTCCTTTGGGACGGCTCAGCCCATTACCAGTTAGCTGCCTTGGAGTCGGTGGAGCGAAGAGCAATGAGAGTTATTAACAACTCTCTTTTGGAATCGGGACTGTCCCGCTCAAAGAGTAAAATCATATTATTTTATCTTAAATTAAAATTTTAAAAACTACTTATCAGCTAAGTCTATAAAGTTACCATTTCTGCCTTTTTTATTTATTGTTCAATTGGAAGAAAATAGTCCTTCTCTAAGGGTGGCAAACCAAGGAATATACTGGTTTCGCGCACTTTCCGTTAACCGATTCCAATAAAACTTGACAAATAGATGTAATTCCAATAAAAAAAACAGATAAGCAAACTTTTGCGATCGGTTTTTTTTTTTTAATAAAAAAGTTATTGTAACTCTATTCTATCAAACCACATTGTTCATGGTTCACGGTATTCTTCAATCTGTTAGATGGCAATTTCCAGTATTTTAAATAGTTTCTTAAATAATAAGCTGTTACTGACCAGCAATTCAACATCCCGTTATTTAAATTACGGTGCGGAACTTACAAACTAAGATCAATATCCGAGCTAAAGAATACTGCTCCAGCTGATTGCCAATAAGTAACTTTTCCCTCACGATGTTAATTTCTTCAGCAGCGCTCGTCACCAGCGGCAGGGTCTTGTCCGGAAATAGGCTTTCGTATTCCAACTTCTGGAGCAGAAACTCTGGAACCACGAAATCAAATATAAAACATTTTCTTCATGATACCAAGTAGAAGGACAAACAAGATACGAGTCTGATTGTAAACGACACACCTGTCGATAAGATTTGTGCCACTCAGAGCTTTGAAACACAAAGATCTGACGGGCACTGCCATTGCATGACCCTGTGACACAAGTTGACAAGTCCCGTGTGCCTGTAATTTCACCAGTACCCTCACCCTTCAAAACCGAAATGCAGTAATGCTCATATTAATTTTGGCGGCAGAATTAGGTAAGGTAGCAGTACTTCCCTGAACGAGCTCTTTCACTAGGAGCTCTACTGCTACGAACATACAACTATAAAGAACTTGCACTTCCAGATTTATATGGCGAACAACTATGAAATGTAATTTCCTGCAGACTTATTCCCTGAACGCTATAACTACGGCCTTAACAAGTGTCGAGTCAATAGGCACTATTTAGATGTGCAATCGACCCTTCCAGACACTTTCCAGCAGGTGAGATGGAAGTCGAATGCGCACTTATAATTTTATTTAAAAAAAAACTCAAGCAAGATGGAAGCCATGGGACAACCCTTATATTACGTTAAACTTGATGACCTCCATGACCTAGCGGTTAGCAGTGTGGGCGCTAAGTATAGAGGTCCCTGCCTATCCCATTATAGCCAACTCCCCTTTAACAGACTCTTGGTCTAGCAGTGGACTATTATAATAGCTTCGTGACAAAAATTAAATATGTAATTAAAAGTCAGACCTTACGCCAAATATTTAAAAAAAATGAAAAGAGTGCAATTAAAGAAAATGAATACCTCTTTTTTTCAAGTCGGTTAAAAATACTACTAATTATTCATTCATTACAAAATAAAATTACAATATTCCATAATTGTAATATTCTTGGAACACTTTCACAAAGCAATTACAAAATTAGAAAAAAATAATTATTTGATTGGGCATACAATGCACTTTAAAAAAGTTAATTAATTAATTAATAATTTAATGTCGAATATAAATAAACAAAATAAATAATATTAATACGCAATATAAATTCCTCAAATATTGCAAAAAAAAATATAAGAAAGAACAAACTTAGCGTCACGCGAATGTTTCTCTATATACGATACTTTAGTTCCACTCGAACACCGCTAGATGGCATTGAACGTTTTTAAAACGCGCTATCGTTTTATTACAAGCGAACCATGGCATTGTTGCTCGGCGTCCCCAACAAAACATACATACATACATAAAAGCATTTTTTGGAAGGGCTCGGTGAGAGAATCTTTGTGTTTTCTCCTTTCCCTCTATAAAAACTAAAATAACATGCAATTAAAAACTTAAAATGGCACATAAGTTTTCCCTTGTCATCAAGGGAGTATTTAAATTAACAAAACACCAATCTCTCGGATAATGACCCTGGTTAATTTAACTTTCGGAAAATGATTTTTTTTAAAGTTTCTGAAAATAAGTTAATAATAGTAAAATCGAGATTTTAGTAAGGTAAAAGATTTAAAACTACAGTGTAACAAAAAATTTACACTAAAGGTTAATACAGATTCCGCTTACTGGGATGACAAAAATCCATGGTAGTGACCCGTTAGTTCTTGCAGATTGTTTTTATCTATCATATTTGAAATAAGTATTATAAATGATAAATGTTTATTTCCAAAGGCAAATCTCTAGAGCAGGGTTTTTTTACTTATGGTCCATATTAAGGGGTCCGTGTTATGCATACCGGGGCTCCAAGGCGAACCTAACATGCATTAATATAAAAATTGGCCCACAATATGCTGTGACCTTTTTGAATTTTCGCGCCCTTTGGCGGCCATTCATTATTGGAGCGAGCGAGACCCGCGTGATTTCGAAGTCAAAGCAACCCGCGAGCCTATCTTCTTCATATTTTCGAATAAAGTCCGTGAGCGCTTTGAAAATATGAAAAGGGTCAATAATTAGAAAAAGGTAGGAAACCCTGACCTGACAGACCTCGTCCAAGGAAGTACTGCCACCTTACCTATTTCTGCTGCCAAGCAGTAATGTGAGCACTACTGTGTTCCGGTTTTGAAGGGTAAGGGTGCTGGTGAAATTACAAGCACATTAGACTTGTCAACTTATGTCTCAGGGTGATGGAGGCAGTGGCGGTGCACCTCGGATCTTTGTGATTTAAAGCTCTGAGTGGTACTGCGACTGTTATGGACAGGCGTGTCGCTTACCACCAGATGCACGACTAGTTCGTCTTGTCACTTAGTATTATAATAATAAAAAAAGGTAATTTTTAGTTTGAATTTGCATTCAACATTATCCACTATGCCTTCAATACTTTTATGTATCTTATTTTCTTACTGTCAACTTCCATATAACCTGTTTTACAAAAACAAACAATTTTGGTTCTACACCTTTTGGTAATAAAAAGGAATATTTATTTGACTCTGCATAAAATTTTGTATGAGATTTTTTCAACAATAAATATTAACAGGAAATAAGGAACAGTATATGGAGGGGCCCTACTTAAGAATCGATACAACCTCAAATGGGTTTGATTTATTCCGCGTAACGGTGAAAGCATAACGCAAAACTCTTTGGAAAAAAATATGCAGTAAAATTGAGGATTTACACTGATTATAATAGACGGTGTGAAAACACGATTCTTAAACAATTTTACGATACACAAAAAACACTAACTTACCTCGAAATTTTACAAGAAAACCGCTGTATTCAATAGGTACTGTACACATGCCATTGTTTTTTTTAATATCAACTGAACGCAATATGACACGCATAGTACTTATATGATATACATTTTTCAAGTGGTTTTTAATTTCGGTGGTAAAAAAAGAATTCTGAAATATGGCTAGTGTCCTGCCGCTCGACCCAAGTAAAATAAACCGTATTAATACGAGAAAAATTTAAATTTGAGTTGTGGGAAAAAAAACATTTTTCGCAACTAACCACCCATTATGAAGTTATTAAAAATAAACTGACCAAGCAACTGTCGAGAAAACACATTCTTCTGAGCATGCCTCAACAATAGCAAGAGGCATCTGACGTCAGAGCGTTGAAGCATTGTTACTAACGCAGCTGGTCCAACTGCTTCCCACGCAGGAGTGTGCCGATATGTGGCACAGAGCACGCTGAGGCGTTCCATGACTTCGTCGGTTACTGGAAATGTAAATAAAGAAATTGTTCAAATTCATGATTTAATAGATTTAGTAGCAGTAGAGCTCGATGTGAAAGAGTTCGTCCAGGGAAGTACTGCCACCTTACCTATTTCTGCCGCGAAGCAGTAATGTCAACATTACTGTGTTCCGGTTTTGAAGGGTAAGGGTGCTGGTGAAATTACAGGCACATGCGACTTGTCAAGTTATGTCTCAGGGTGACGTGCGCAATGGCAATGTCCTGCGATCTGAGATCTTTGCGATTTAAAGCTCTGAGAACACTGCAATCGTTATGGACAGGTGTGTAGCTTACCATCAGGCGCACGACTTGTATGTCTTGTCACTTGATATTATAAAAAAAAAAGAAAAAAGAAAACGTAGTTGCCATTCAACGTGTTGCAGGCGTTCATATGCGACGGTAACCGCTTTCCATCAGGTGGGCCATACGCTTGTTTGCTGCCTACATAACATAAAAAAAAACTAAGTGAAGGGACCAACAAGTCGTGTGCCTGTCGGTAAGCGACACGCCTGCACATAACAGTTGCAGTACCACTCAGAGCTTTAAATCGCAAAGAACTGAGGGGCAGTGCCACTGCGCCCGACACCCTGAGACATAAGTTGACAAGTCGCATATGCCTGTAATTTCACCAGCACCCTTGCCCTTCGAAACCGGAACACAGTTATGCTCACACTACTGCTTGGCGGCAGAAATAGGTAAGGTGGCAGTACTTCCTTGGACGAACTCTTTCACAAGGAGCTCTACTGTAATAAAAAGTGTCATGTGTCGCCAACCACAAGTATCTACTATTACACTACTATCAGATCTTTGCAATTTAAAGCTCTAAAAGGTACTGCAGCTGTTATCGATAGCCGTGTCGCTTATTACCAGGTGCACGACTTATTCATCCCGTCACCTGACATCATTAAAGACAATTGTGTGAAAATAGAATACTCACTACTAGTTACCGGTGGCTTGTATCTGTTATAAGACACTAAAAGTCTATGTTTTCGCGGCACCGTTTAGGTGTCTACATACTTACATGTAAGTTCAATATCCTGTGTTAGAGCTTTCAAAACGATATCAGATTTCGACGCCAAGTTCAGCAGGTATGGAATAACATCCCTTTTCTTTTCCGGTTTACTGTCCTCCCTGATTGCTTCCTGCAATATACAATTAGAAAAAATTGTAAAGAATTATTCAATGTCTTCTGGACACTTCGTCCCTTACAGCAATAACAGACGTAATTTTCAATTATTATAATAATAATAATATCACGACACCCTCAATATACAGGGTGTCATCGTTAAGTGTGCCCAGGCGATTATTCCGCATAAACCTTTAAATAAAATTAGAAATATTCAAAATTTCAACATTACATGTATGGGAGCATACATTTGATATGACAGTTGTAGAGGCTTTATTTTTAAAAAGCTATTGATGTTGTTTTACTCATTAAGTAATATGCAAACTACCTAGCATTTGTTGCGTACCTTCTTCAATAACCCACCCTTAGCCAATGTTACTTACTTATTACAGAACAACGAGGACAACTCGAAGATGAGTGATAGGTGGTTTAGGAAATAATAATAATAGCCTTTATTGCTGACACATTGATTTACAAATTACAAAACAATTCATTTATAAAATTAACCATTGTACAGACAAAATAGCATATCAAGCTATACATAGATTTTAAGACTTTCGTGGTTATTCACTAAATGATTATCACTAATATCAGGTTTCCTACCACGGTATGACTTCTTTTTATTTTCCCGATATTTCGGAACGGTTGCACGCTTCATGGTCACGGGTTGACTGGACGGCGGCAGATGACAGCTTTAAGAGCAGACATATCTGTCTACCCTCTTGCGCTGTCGACGACTACCTTCATCGCGATTTGTTGTGGCGTTACCATTGTCACTCACTTTTTTCACACAAACCACACTCACTGTATCCACACGCGAAACTGAACTCGAGGTGTTTTTGTTTTTATTACTGCACGCACTAAGGACCGGATTCCATGCACTGGACAGTTTAAAACCATCATCACGGTTAAATGTTTTGTACTTCGTGATCTCGATGGCTTCTCGCACCAACCGTGGTATGTAGTGACGTTCTGTCGAGAGTACCTCGGGGCTATGCATTTTAAACTGTCCAGTGCATGGAATCCGGTCCTTAGTGCGTGCAGTAATAAAAACAAAAACACCTCGAGTTCAGTTTCGCGTGTGGATAGTGAGTGTGGTTTGTGTGAAAAAAGTGAGTGACAATGGTACCGCTACAACAAATCGCGATGAAGGTAGTCGTCGATAGCGCAAGAGGGTAGACAGATATGTCTGCTCTTAAAGCTGTCATCTGCCGCCGTCCAGTCAACCCGTGACCATGACGCGTGAAACCGTTCCGAAATATCGGGAAAATAAAAAGAAGTTATACCGTGGTAAGAAATCTAATATTAGTGATAATCATCAAGCTATACACTTTTGTTCGAATATCGCCTCCAGTACAACAGAACAAGATCCGTCACTGTGTAGCTTAATGTGCTGCCATCTGTACATTTAATATTTATAAATAAATATAGTTCATAATAAATTTTTGTTCAACATTACTTCTTTTATTAAATTGTCTTTACATAGGCCTCTGCTTCGATATAGACCTCCCCCGGAGATTACCAGTTCTAGGAAATAAGTCGACATTAAACTGAATAATGGAACAATGTGAACACATACTTGAAACAGTTCAACAAGTGCAGCCCTAACGTGGTATAGGGCAGGCGGGTGATGCGCGAGGTGCGCCAAGACAGCCCTCGCAGCGTCGGCGCCCAACGCCAATGCCCTTGGGGCCACTAGCGCCGGCTCTGCGCGCCCCACCCAGCCCACAGCCCAGGAGCACGCGCGGCAGCCTGAAGATTGCACAATGACGTACTAGAAATTGATTACGAAATATAGACTTTAACACGAACACTTACGTCGCGTTGAAACCTCGCCGTCCATGTAATAGTATTTACAAAATCGTATAAAGGGTTTTAACAAGACGTTAAAAAAAATTCTTTAGAAAAGGTAGAAAATGCAGCCAGTGGATTCAGTAAATATAGGGCTGATCCAGTTTGTCTAGTGGTACGCTTATTAATGGCCAATCTAAGCAATTTTAACGTAAAACATAACTGTGGGGATTGCAACAGTCAAAATGCTCTGAGAACATACAATATTCTGATTCACAATTAAGGAGTTTTAGCTATATAGGAGCGATAAATCCGAAAAATTTCTATTTCAATTACGACTAGTTTTTTGAATGATCTTCGATGTTCGGGTTTGATAGATCATTCGTAGAAATAATCAAAAGGTACCGTTTGGCATTAAGAAAAAAGAAACAGTCAAAATGAGATTTAGCAGTTTTTCTTCTGATGCTCCTCAATTAATAAAAGTATTTCATTTTTTGATATCTTGAAACAAACAAAAAATATTGGCTTTTTCATCACTAAATTCTTCAGCTAAATTCAAATAAGAAAATCAAAGTACTTTGAATTAATCAACAATTCAGAACAAACAAGAGTTTAAAATAAAATCTTAAATACACATAAATTAATCTATATTTTTGTCATAATCAATCTTACATATATCCAAAACTAAATATTACTCTATTTTTCCAGTACTTTGAGGACATTACATAAAAAAACACAACCTATATTGATAATGTAGTGTGACATTAATGTGACAATATACACACATACTTGGCGTACTCTAGATGAATGCAATCATTACTTACCCAACATCATGTCAATGCATTGAGCTCTTTCTTCACAGTTTAACAAAGTGAGGTTCTGTGTTGTCATATCTAGCAATACTCTAACAGGATCTGTGTTTTGCACATCTGAAACACAATGCAATTTAATTAATGAAATAAAATAAATAAAACCATCTCTTGTATGCATAAGAAAATTTTATTTAACAATTTTAAAACACTACTTGTTCTAATCATTTCATCAAATCAATCAATCAATCATTTCGTGAGCGGATGATGTATGTAAGTTAAGTAGCTGGAAAAACCTTGATGCAAATAGTCCAAGATTGAGAATGATGGAAGGGTCGAAAAGCAATATGACACAGGCCGGGACTAAATAAAGTAAAAGTATACTTTGGCCATAATAATGAAAGGGCACTGACTTAGCGTTAGCCAAAATTCCATAGGATGTCTAGTTCGACCACATTTTTTAAAATTAGTTTCATCATGCAATAAATAAAACAGTATCCTCATTTTTTAATATATAATACTAAGTGACGGGACCAACAAATCGTGCGCCTGGTGGTAAGCGACATGCCTGTCCATAACAGTTTCAGTGCCACTCAGAGCTTTAAATCACAAATATCTGAGGGGCACCGCCACTGCGCCCGATCCTGCGGCATAAGTTGAAGTCCCATGTGCCTGTAATTTCACCAGCACCCTTACCCTTCAAAACCGGAACACAGTAATGCTCACATTACTGCTTCGCGGCAGAAATACCCTTTGACAAGGGTTTGAGAAGTTTTAAGAGCGCGACGTCGTGAACTATTCACAGTCCCACCGGTGCGTACCGTATCGCGCAGGAACTCACCCCTACTCCGTGCCCTCGCAATGCTCAATCAACTCTGGCATCAGAACTGGAGTGTGATCTGTTTGCATGGTGATGGGCGGCTGTGTGTTGTGAATGCCTGAGATTTTGTGAAGCGATGGATGATAGTGAGTCAAGTATAGTGCTATGGTTTAATTTATTATTTTAGTCTTAGTTTTTTGTTTTTTTTTTTTTTTTTTCATTTTTTTTGTTATTTTTTTATTAGTTTTTTTTCACGGCGCATTGGTTATGGAACTGTAAAATCCCGTAAAAATATTTTCAAAAAAAAAAAAAAAAAAAAAAAGGAATTCTACTGTTACTATAAGAAACTCACTCGTTGCGTCACTTCTATAAGAAACTATGATGGGATGTGACAATTTTATGGTTATAAAAGGCCAAGGGCATGGGGTAAAATGTTGTATTGAGTACCCCATTGGTGAGGATGGCTAACCATTCTATTCACACGTCCCTCAGAACTGTAATAATTGACATGCATTACAGGCCTAAATAAAAAACTAGATGCCAAAACGTAACAATGCTTACTAGGAAAGTTAGCTTTCTCAGTGGCGATGTCCATGATGAGGTTAATGCACCAGGGGGCTATAAAGGGTGCCCAAGCCTGGCCGAGATTGGAGAGCTCTGGCCCAATCATGGTGATGCTCTCTAGTGAACCATTTGAATTTGAATCATTCTGTAATTTCAAAATAGTTCTTTATCAGTATTAATTTTGTAACAATGACTACCAGTTTGGTGTAAAGTGCTACTTATACATTGACAATGAACTGCCAATATCTACAAACATAAAAGTAAACGACTGTCATCTGAATAGATATAAAATATAACATTGCCTTAGATTGAAAATCTCACATATGCGTTTTCACATAGTTCATTTTTACTGATTTTTGTTTTAAAAACTTCTTGCTTAAATATATTATTAAAGTAATATCATATCTGAAAGAGGTATAATTAAACTAATTAAAACAGTAATTACAAACATTATTGCGTTTGCTACATTTTAAACCATATTTTTATCTTCATCCTGAAAAATGATATAGAAATCACATACAAGGTATTCATTCTAAGACAATGATAATGGTGTTTAAACACAATGAGAGAGAGAATTTATAATGGCCATTAAGTGTCTATTGAAAGTCAGGATATTTCTCCACCATGATATTCCATATTTTTTGAGAAATTACTCCACTACTTTCTTGTAATTATTAATACAAAGATCGAGGTTTTAGTTGGCATAGTGTCTGGTACGGTTTGAGAGAACACAACGTTTCGAACCCGCCAGATCGAAGGAATTTATTTCTAAGTGTACGATTTTTGTATTTATATTTATCATAATGGCCATGTTGTAAATAACTAGATATTCTGGTTATTTAGAACTAAATACCCTGGGTGGTCCTAGATAACCTTTGTACCTGATTTTCACCAATTCCAGTGCCAGAACAGTTTTGCAAGCTTGTCATTGCCTAGTATGGTCAACTTTTCCTACTACTAGATGTTCAGTAATGAAGAAATTGGTTAGCAACCAATTGAACACCCAAGATACCTACCACAACTTACAATACCAAGTGGAGACATGCAAGCACATCCTCCAGTGTTTCATGTGACAATTAAAATCTTTTACATAGATCTCATAGGGGTACTGCCATTGTGCCATGTTCTATGTGCCTGTAGCTTCACCAGCACCTTCATAATTCGAACGAAATGCTCACATTAATGCTTGGTGGCAGAAATGGGCATGTCAGTACTTCCCAGGCCAAATTCTTCCACAAGCATCACTAAGTACTTCTACTAAACTTTTATAGTGCAAAGCTAGGCTTCTTTTACTATATCAGGTGAACTAAAACGTTATGTAAAACTACTTACAAAAAATATTTAATCCTAAAACTCCACTTTTAGCAGACTCGTTAAGTCATTATAAGATCTCTGACAACTGTTTATTATCTCATTCTGAATCAAATGTTAATAACTTTATTCCGCCAAGATTTTAATTCACGAACATATCGACGTTAAATTCACAACTTAGAAAGATATAGTAGGATAAATACAATGTAAATATTTTTCTTATACTGGTAAAAGTGAGGTTAGTTACCTTAGAAGTTACGATAACAACATGTTATACCTAATAGTTTTTAAAATCTCACCTCATAATCAGGCTGATTAATAGAAATGTTCACGGCATCATGGAAGATCATCGCGAAATACTCTAAAACCGCATCTCTAGCAGCTGGAAAGTTTTTCAGCAGCGAAATGCCTATTTTAGTCAATTCAGGCGCATTTTGAAAATTACGCCTAGATACGCCGTATATAAAGTTATTTAAGTCCGCGGAAAGGGCCGTGGACTTATTCTGAGAATTCATGATGATTACTTATATATAATATTTGATTAAATAAACGTTTTTATGCACCGCAAATACAACTACCCTTCCACGCCGATACAAACAAACTACAACACAAAACAAACCATAATCACAATGGTCACAATAATCACATTTCATAGACCACACCAAGACCGCACTCACTACCATCTCACTACACCCGCTATCACCAGTCACCAGCCTTTTCAACATTTCATTATGGTACATAGTTGTCTATGTCACCAGCTATCACTATGCCATCAGAATGACGTTCAGTCATTCACTTATTCATTCTGATTTGACATTTGACGCCTGCGCATTTGGATGACGTTTGGGAAACCGTTCCGTTACCTATATGTAATGCACCTTGTTGTAGTTTATAAACGGCTTCACAAAAAATTATTAATAAACGCTATTTCGTTTTATCTGTCTGAAGGTATGAACCTAATTCCACTTCAAAGATATATTACCAAACAACAGCTTCCAATTTTAAACTTTACACTATCTTAAGCAGTTTTATTTTTTAAACTTATAGTTTAAAAATAGGTATGTACTGTGTATTATGTGTGTGTACGGGTGTATTATGTGTAGGTATGTATAGGGTCAAGAGCACGTCAAGATTGACACGATTAACTCTATTCCGCTTGCAATAAGAACGGTTCAAAGTCCAAAGGGTCAAGTTTGATATGCTCTTGACTCATAATTTCAAGTTTTTTTATTTACTATATTTTGGGTGTTGGCTAAAACAGACAAAAACAAATAAAAAGACTCTAAACATAATATAACTCAAACTAAATTTATGTCATCATTTATTTATTGAGTGTCGATTTAAAAAGTTAGTAACGAATTACAAAAAAAAGGAACTCAGAAGTAAAATTCGCGTCTCTTGTTTTTATTACTAAAAATCTATGTTTATATCGATGTAAATGTTTACTAATACAATACCTTTCCTTTTTATGTCATTACAAAAAAATAAATTTATTAAGCTATAGTTTTAATTCTTAACATAATGTTTATTATAATATTTTATGACACGAGTGCCACGGAATGGGTGGCCTTATCGCTGAAAGCGAAACAATGAACCAATCTCATTGATTATATTACTACGATTTTACCATTTTTATACTTTACCAAATAATTTATCTTTCTGGTATTAATGTGCAGTATCGCGAATATTGTCCTTGCTAATTTAATCGATATTGCCGCAAGCAACACATCACGCGTAATGGAATGTTAGCGATGTGATCACCTTATTGGTCTTGTATTAAGGTACAAACTTACAATCACGCTGATTGTAATATTAGACGAGACGAACGGATGAAATTGGTTTGAACAGAAGTATGAATATATTTAGACTGCAATCTATGAAGTCCACAAAATTGACAGCTATAATATGTTTTCGAACATTAAATAACTTAAACCAAATGTGTAAGGGAACTGTAGTCTTACTAGTCTCTATGTTATTGTTCTTATCTACACATTTTTGATGTTTTATTTTTCAATCCAACATGAAATTTAATTAATGCTTTCACGATAACTACGGTGCACAACATTTGAATGGTAATTCTATTAAATTATTCAACTGTCAAAAGTAGCACGCTATGATTATTGTATACATCTTTTCGGAAGTACCTAGACTAATAATGCTGCGGCATTTGTAGTTGATTATTAAGATTATTGTACATACATCTATTCGAAAGTACACTCATAATGCAGCGGCATTTGTAGTTGATCGATTAGATAGATATATACGTAATATGTCTATAAGTACATGGTATAGGTAGATAGAGGGATGGTGTGTGTGGGGTCGCCATGGGAAAATCAATAAAGACTGCGCACGCGATCCGCGCAAACTCGTACACCCATGAGAATGAGTAGGGCTCCCAGAAATGTGAAGAATTTGCTCCATAATTGGTGCACTGTTACTTCGTTGTTAAGGAGCTAACCATGATGTGAGTATACCTTATTCATTGGATAATTCATCTGTGCAAATGCAAAATGTCTAAGGCACCGTACAGGGTATTTAAGAGGAGCGAATTTTAAAATCCCTTAAACTACGCTTAAGCAATAAACATTGCGAGAAAATAGCGAATTATCGCACTACTGGAGCACCAAAAAAGTGCTCAGACCGCTACGAAATCTGGACAGTTCGACACAAAAAAATACCAAAACTATCAATGATTTAAGAGTCATTTTCGCTCAGAGGCGCTTCAGACTTTTTACCTTTTCACAAACGTTCATTTTCTGATTTCGAACACATTGGACCCTTTACAATTTGGGCACTCCGGAGTTGTTTTAATTACATAGCGACCTACAGCACCTTATTTTTTTAAACAAGAATCATTCTTTAAAAACTTACAACACTGCGAGGGTTTTGTAATCAAAATAGGCACAAGTCGTGCCTAGCAGTGGGACGTATATGGATTAATGATAATGTTATCATCATCCTACATTTTTGGTGTCTATTGACAAGACTACCTTTTGATGTTGACAGAGTTTAAATAAAACCATTGATTTAAGAACAACGTTATTCGATTTTCATGACAACATATTTTGCATAAAATATTTCTTGTCTGCCTGTAACTAAAAATGTATATGCTTATGTCCAATAATATACCATCAACATTTATGAAGATTATTTGATCGCAGCTTCACGTGTTAACATATTGATATAAGCGTGTATACGTATTATAAGTATAGCATTGTACGTACGACTTCGAACTATACGTACAAACGAACATACATATTTGAGTATTTTCGATTGCGCCTATTGCCTCTCAGTGTAAATGTCCATAATATATGTCTCCAATGTGTTTCTCCCTTTCTATTATGCACTACCAAAACAATAACAATTACGCATTTCAAGTAATTTCCATTTTGTTATGAATTTATCGATAGTAAAGTGAATTTCTAGCTAAATAAGAATTTTTTTACAAAGTACCTTATCCGAACAATATAGTAAGATTTTGAAATTCAATAACTATGATGAAAATTAAAAAAAAAATTAAAGTCGTCAAAAACCTTTTGTATATAAGATATTTACGAAAGGCATTTTTGTATTGCTACGTCGCGTCGCTTTCAAAGTTATATGTATGTAGGTAGGTACATAGACTAGTCATTGGTGAGACCGTCGCAATTTGCGCGTGAACAGGGTAGCCCTGCGGCAGGGCGGGCGCCGCTGGCGTCTGACGCGCCCCTCGCCATACGACGCAGGCGCGCTCCGCACACCGACGCTCTCCGGCATGGATCGATGAGATAAACGCGCTACCCCGCTTTTCGAGTTAAATCAATACAATCTCTATCGATTTTTGTAGCCGCCGCCGCCGTCGCCGCCGCACACGGGATTCGAGGGTCGCACGCGGTGGTTGCGCATATTACTTTAACAACGTTAAAAGTGTAAATTTGATTATTTTTTTTGTGATTTTTGTAAGAAATACGAAAGATGACGCTGTTAATTTTAGACTTCACACTGTATTTCTATTGATTACCGGTTGTTTGAGGTAATTATTAACTCTATCGTTTACTAGATTACCTCTTTGGTCCACTTCCTGTATATTGTTAGTATATCAAAAAACACTAATAAACTATTTAAATTTAAATTGTGTTCGAATAAAACATAAAAAATATTCAAATAATTTTAAACATATCCAAGTTTTTTAAACTTTATCTAACGTGATTGATTTTTTAACTTTCACATAATTTTGTAATTTTTAAGTTCAATTTCCGTAAACCAGTGACGACGCGCCGGCCGGTAGCATATGTGGTACTATGTGATTCTCACGTGTCTTTCGTCTATGCAACTATCCTTTTCTTTCTCGAAAATTTTCTTCATCTTAGTTGAGATAGCTATATGAAGTAAAGTGAAAAGTCGGAGAGAGATTTTGTTTTCGTGACCATTGGTGACATAGTACCTCTCTCTTTAGTGGTTGTTTGTTTTTGTTTGCGTGTGAGGTTATGAGTTTGAATAAATATGTTGTGTTGTAGTAAATAATGTGTACTAATTGTGATATTCGCAGATGACGTGATAAAATGAGTTGAAATGACGTCGACGGACACGTACCAGTTGAAATGGCACTCGCACAGTTCGCATATGAACGGCTCCGTTGCGGCTTTGCTGCGATCGGAGCGGTTCACGGACGTAGTGCTGTGCACCATGGACGGGTCGCAAATACCCGCGCACAAGTTCATCCTGAGCTCGTGCAGCGTGTATTTGAGCAATTTATTCGAAGGCCAGCGTTCCGTAATGCGTATGGGAGGGATGCTCTACGTGGTTCTGCCACCAGATATATCTACGAAGGCGCTAAAGATTCTTGTCGAATATATGTATAAAGGTAAAATTGATATTTATTTTATTAATATCTTTAGCGTTGAGCAGGAATAGCCTCCGAATGACGAATAGGTCTCTCATAGGCAGTGCCCGTAATATAAGCAATAATATTCCCTACAACCACACCAATGACCTGGTGTCAATGTAAAGAATTCTCTGTACTGTGACTACCAGAGCAAAGGAAACCTCTCCGGGGCGAACTCCGAACTCTCTGACCAAAACTAATTTCGAAAATTTTATGTCCCAAATTGGTCCTATCGAACCCGGGCCTCTCATCCAGCGCCCACAGTTAATAGCATTGTTTTCTTGTTTTTCATAATTCATATATTCAATTATTTTTTTGTGAAAGTATTCCACTAGTTAGTTATAATTATTAATACTAATAATTGAAACCGGCCAGATCGAAGGAATTTTTTCTGAGTGTTCAATCCTTGTATTAATAATTATATCACATATACATATTTAAAAAAAACCTAATAGTAGATGTCTACAAAATTTTAATGCAAATTTTAAAATATGTCATTATTCATTTCAGGAGAAACAACAGTTTCAAATGAAGTCCTAGATACGGTCCTGAAAGCCGGTGAGGTGTTGAAAATCCGTGGTCTTTGGCGTCAGACAGATGAGGCAGGAGGGGATTCGACACCAGCTGAAAAGACAACTGCCAACCCAACAGTAATGGTTAACAAACAACCTCAAAAGAAAACTGAAGAACAGCCCAAGATCAATGTAAAGAAAGATGACAAACTACTTAAGACTTTTGCTCCTATGCAGACTGCACAAGGAGTCACTAGGTAATACGATCAATCCTCATAATGGTTGTATTATTATTATTAGATTTGTTTCGTTCTGGGCCCATGGAGCCCTTCATCCCTCCAAGAGACAAAAGCTTTTGCTACAATTAATTTTACAAGCTTGGCAAAATCGAATACTCAGGAAAGTACTGTGCCATCTTACCTATTTCTGACGCCAAGCAGTAATGCATTACTGCATTCCGGTTTGGAAGGGTGAGGGTGCTGGTGAAATTATAAATAATAAATAATGCACACACTCAACATAGCCCCGCACTATGGAAACCCTGTGTCGCGGGTGCCATGGACACACACATAGACAACCACAAATTACACCCAAACTCACGAGAGAAATAAATGTAAGCCATACAAACGTTTCTCCTGGCCCGGGAATTGAACCTGGGACCTCTGCGTGGCAGTCCGGCATGGTAACCGTTCGGCCATGGAGGCAGTTTAATTACACGCACATGGGACTTGTCAACTTAAGTCTCAAGATGACTGGCATAGTGGCACTACCCCTATGATCTTAGCGATTTAAATTCTAAGTGGCACTACGACTGTTATGGATAGGTGTGTCAAAATTTTTTTTAATAATATATGCAGGTTTTTCTCGCTTCTATAAAATTACTAAAGCAGTGTTGTTTGCTAACCGACATTGTGCTTTCCCAGTATCGAGCTTCGTAGGCCCATCAACAGATAAGGAGATGCAGAGACGTTTTGTCTGCCTTTTGATAGAATCAACACACTCTCACACCAAAGATTTCACATGTGCTACACAGCTACCATGTTCTGTTGCTGCCCAGTGTTAGAGTATCACTAAAATGGTTGTAACTTTATTAATTTCACACCAAATAGAGCATTGCAATGTAGATGGCATAATGCAACAGTAAATGTCATTTTTAATATTAATTTGACATTTATTTATATTATAATGTCTAATGGGCGGCTAGCGCTGGCTGAGGATGTCCTGGGTTCTCACTGGTTGATTCTCATAGTGTTGGGGATTTCGCTAGTTTTAGACTTTTGGTTGCCTGCAATGCATATTGCCTCATGTAGTGCCATTCATAAAAGTTCTCGGACAAAGGCAGTACATCATCTTTTTCTCACTCATTGTAGGAAATACATTTTCTTTTCATTTTTTACAGCACTTTTTATTTTTTAAATTACATTATGGATCTATGTTATTATTATTATTATTTAATTAATACGCTAGCAGCTCTAACAGCTGATGCGTGTATGTCACTGCACTTGTACATTGTTAGTTTTCAAAATGTTTATCAAGTCTCGATTTGAAACTGTTCACTGTTGGAGCACTAATTACTGTTTCTGGGAGCGAATTAAACAAGTTCATAACGCGAAGTGGCAAGAAGTGTTTTTCAGGGGTTACTAGCACATGGAGGCTTGGTTATTTATATGAAATATTCTTACTGTCATGTCGACAATGTGAGACATCAACTAGTGATTATTAGTAAATACAACTGAAAGGTTTTTACACTTTATAGCAAAGAGAGAGTTAATAACTTATTGCTTTAAAATATGCTTGCAGGCCAATGTTCATCGGTCCACCAAAACTAGTCTTCATTAAAACGACAGAGGCTGGTCCTCAAGGGAGCTTGCGTCCAGGAGCACCCAAAATACTCGTAGCACAAGCACCAGCTGAAGGTTTGGCAGCTACGGTTGGTACCCCTACTGCTCCAGTAGCACCTGCAAGCACCACTACTGATGAATCATCAAATGATACCCCAACGCTTCCTAGAATACTTAGGAGACATGCTGTTGAAAAAAAGTATGGCAAACGACAGAAGACTGCTGAGACTGAGAACGATGAAGCTAAGGACTCTGATAATGCTTCGGAAACTTCTAGTGAGTTGACAGTATTGTTTATAGTTTATATTTGTGTTAAACAAATAGAACAATCCATAGTAATGTACATTATGAAGGTCAAAATTGATGCCTGTAGGTTTCTAACCTTGATAGATAGATAAATAAAATGTCTAATGTCCTCCCACAAGCACAAACAAGTATATAACAAATTAAATTAACAAAAAACAAACACAAAATAGAAATTAAAATTAACAGTGAAAACTAACATATAAAAAAGAAAGTAGTAAATAAATGTATGTGCATAATAAGGAGCCTTTACATAACTAATAAAAGAACAACAACTTGAGTGTGCTACAACCAGGCAAATAAAACCAACTTGTGCGTGTTGCTGCAAGTCAAATAGAAACAACTTATGTGTGCTGCAGCAAGCCAAATAGTTTCTAGCTCAGTGCGAGCTTTATGCTAAAGCAAAGGTAAAAATTAGAAATAATGTACCTTTAAAAATATCTTTAAAGAAAGTTGTTCCGCAGAAAAATCAGCACAGAGCAACAATACAACTGAAGTACAGATCAAAGATGAACCCGAGTGGGACGCATCAAGCATCGAAGAGGAAGAACGCTCTATCGCAGAGATGTTTCAAGCCGAGATGAGCGTCAAATCCGAGCCAGTTGACGAAGTTGAAATTGAGGAGGAGGGCTTGGTGAGTTTACCTCAGATGACATACCCCATACAGCCTAATGTCGCGTTCCCATTATGTCGTATCGTTAGACGACTATCGCGTCTAACCCCTATCACGACTATCTGTCGTGACTGTCTTGGACATTTATTTTTTCGTTGCACGATTGTCGTGTATAGCTGTTCCCGCTAGACCGTGACGACAATTTATCGATTCACGGCAACCGCCTTGTCTTTTGCACGACAACCGTATGAAGCTGTGATTAGATGTCGTCACAATTTTACCGTGACGTTTTATTTATCGTCAGAAGACTGTTATTCTAACTTCGTGAACGACGGTTAATCGTGTTTTACTATATGTGAACAACTTCTTTTAAATATACAAGTTACGACACTTTAAACTGCACGACTATCTGTCGTCACGACATAATAGGAACGTGTCCTTAGACAACGACTTGTTGTAAATATCGCCTCAAATTAGCGCAGCGACGCGTCCCAATGCGCTGCGCCGGCACTTTTGCAGTTTTGGTAAGAAAATATACCTCCCATGTAAGTTGTAAGCCACAAACATAAAGTATATAACCAGAAATAGAGACGATATGTCATTTCATTTGTTTGAAAACTGTTCTGCCAATATCAGTACGGTGACAACTGGCTCCGATTGGCCAGCCCGAATTCGAAACAATTGACGGGTGTCGTCAGTTGTTTCACTTCAAGTAGACCTTTAACTTGAGCTTTGCTATAAAGAACGAAAATTGAAAAATTACATTTTTAATATATAATTACCGATGAAATGTGATTCCGTTTGTTTTGTATTTAGATGTTTTGCTATTTTTCCCACCCCACCGAATGGAACAGCCCCCTTTATTACAATTCACAATGTCAGTTGTTGGCGCTATACTATTTCAGCTTTCTAATTAGTGATTTCAACGCAAAGGAGAGTTGATATTTAAAAGTTATATAAGACCCATTCGCCTGATGAGTTGCCAGGGACGGATGGCCCATATTTCGTCTCTATTTCTAGTTATATACTCGATGGCGACAAAATAGTATTTTTACTTTTTAACTTAATATGTATATTATAGTTCCATGTTTAAAAGTACACAAAACATTAGGCGATTGACACACTGCACCGCGCCCCACGACGGTGCGCGAGACGCAAAATCCCGCGCGCGGTAGCTGAGACGCAGATCTGCGTCACCGCGCGGTTTAATCTGCGCGGGGGCAGCGGTCTAGCGGCCCCGCGCCACTCAAAGTACTCGCTTCTTAGTTGATCACCGTAGTGATTGCCCATGTAGCTGAAACCCTTCTTTGACAAGAATGGTTAATAATACAGAACTTGTTCAGGACGCTGCATTTATACTGTCGATTGTTTTTGTTTACTCAAATAAAAAGACACCGAAGATAACATTCAACTTCATTACAAAGATTTAAGAAAATATGAAGATTAATTTTTCAACTAAAGACGCATGTCAACTGAATCCTTTGATTATTTGTTAGGGGACATCCGAACGACAATTCCTGGAATAGACACAAAGTGATTAAAAATCTGTGCGGTAGTGCGGAGCGTAGGGTGCCCCTACGCGCGGGGGCCCAGTAATACCGCGCGTAGAAGCGTTATCAGCATGTTCGACGGCGCGTGTTTTCCATACAAACTGAGATACTTCAGTACAACGTTAAAAAACGCAGCTTCGCGCTTCGTCGCGGGGCGCGGTGCAGTGTGTTAATCGCGTAAGTGTTCTCTCTTTTGTTTACTTTTGATCATACATATACGTAAAATGGATATATTTAACTGCCTCCGTGACCGAAAGGTTACCATTCTGGTCTGCCACGCCTGTCCTGGTTCGATACCCGGGTCGGGAGAAATGTTTGTATTTATTATTTCGTGAGTTTGTAATTTCTGGTTGTCAAATGCAGTACTTACATGTTAATATTTTTAAACCAGCAGCGTGGATTGGTATCTCGATTCTAGTAATATGATTATGAAATAGAGAGAACACAAGAATACGTCTAATATTTAAAAATAATTCTATACTCAATGGTGCTAGCGACCCGCGCTGTGCAACGCGAGCGCCTCGCGAGTTCATGCGAATGTACGTCCGTATACGGCGAGTATCGACTGTGCACACATACAAGCCGCGGTTGCTACGTTTGTATAGATTTACACTACTTATTATATTATACTATGCTTTCGTTGTCAGTTAAAGGCATAATATGGCAAGGGAAACAAAAAAGTTCTTGTCTTAAAGCTTAATATTACAAAATGGTACCAATAAAGAGTGGTGCCAGCCACGAAAGAAAAAAAAAATGGAAGTGCCTTAACCGCTGTAGCCAAAACGCACTCAAACCGGTGATAAACACTACGAAATCTTGATAATTATTGGTCATAGTTTCTAATCGAGTTCTTAGGTTTTCGCGATTGTTACACATAGGAAATGAAACTATTTTTCCGGATTTAAATCGCGTATATTTGTTTTTTCAAACAAACCGACGTTTCGGGCCCTTTACAGGTCCCATGGTCACGGTTGACTGAGGTGGTACAGTCTTCAACCAGTTATGTCTAATATTAATGCAAACCACCCTATTTTTTCACTATAGTTACAATAGTTATCAATTAAATACCTTATTTTTAATTTTACAAAGAAAACATTCCAATTTACGCTACATTAAGTTTTACAAATTATTTTATTGAATGAATTTTTATTAAGTTTAATTTATTATTAATTATTAGTAGAATAAACTAAAACATATTAATTAGTACTGCAGTCTTATGTCTGTTTGGGATTTTTCATTAGAGGAAATACTGGATCCCAAACTGGTGGTACGGAGAAACCATCTTCCCTGATGAAATTAGGATGTTTTTTAATTTCAATGGCCTCTCGCAGCATCCTGGGCAGATAACGGACTTCTTTTGCAAGGACCTGGGGTTTGTCAAACTTCATTGAATGTGTAGGTTTATCTATGACATGCTCGCAGACTGCAGACTTGTTTACGCGACGGTGTTTGACATCAGCTATATGTTCTTTGACGCGGGTACAAATACTTCGCTTTGTTTGTCCAATATAAGAGAGACCGCACTCACAGTCAAGCTTGTAAACTCCTGCATCCTGTAAGGCGATGTTACATTTCACGGGTCTCAGGAACTGAGAAATCTTCCTCAGGGGCTTGAAATAGGTCTTGATAGATGCACGCCTGAGGACTCTTCCGATCTTGTCCGTAACACCTCTCACGTAAGGTAAGATGGCAGGTCTTCGCTCGACTGTTGGTGGTTTCACACGGGGTCTGCGGCATTGGCGTGGAATCCTCAACTTATACGCATGTAGGACTTGCTTTATATGCTGAAGTTCCCCCGCCAGATGATTACTGTCGCAGACACCATATGCTCTCTGAAACAAAGATTTGCCCACGGTAGCTAACTGGCTAGGATGGTGATGGGAATTACCATTGAGGTACCTATCTGTATGGGTTTTCTTTCGAAATACAGTATGGCCTAAGGTGTTATTAGGATTTCTTTTAATTAAAACATCCAAGAAAGCTAAAGTACCACAATTCTCTTGTTCCATAGTAAGATCCAATTTACTAATTGGATCTTAGTACTAAAAGAATTAAGATAGTCCAAGAAAATAGTTTCTAAATTAAAAAGATGTAACAAAGTCTGGATTGTTAATATAATTTAATCTTTACACATTCACTATATCGTTGAAAGTTCAATACCTTTATTGCAAGATACGACTTTAGATTTTATATTGAAAATTTATTCAACGTGCTGCCATCTTGCGGCCAGTAGCTGGACTACGACGAACGACACCTGAATCAATTCGATAAACAGAAAATTTATTAAAATAAGACAACGATGATACGAAATATTACCACGGGTAATATTTTTGGTGCGGCTATCATTTTTGCATTCCAAAAAAGCACAATAAGGCATATTTCTGCGCTTTTAGAGAATTTGCGCAAAAGAATGACAACCATAGCATGCAAAACGAAAATGGTGGACTGACCTCTAGTAGGTCTTTCGAGACCTAATGTTGGTACGCGTCTGACGCTAACTAACCGATTCTACTATGTTTGTTGTTCCGTGGTAGCAGCCTAGTGGGAGAAAGGTTCCTTCTCAATTCTGAGGTGAACAGTTTGAATTGAAATATTTTGTAAAATACATATAGGTTATTAACCTCGCAGGACTGTATTACTAACATCATAAACTCAACAAGTTTGTTCCATGTCATTTAATAATGCGTCAGATTTTACTTTCGTACAAAAATAAGAATATTTATATAGATCGCTCTAAACAGTCATAACTCTGTGCGGTACGTTGCAAAACACAGGAGCGGGGGTGGGGGCCGTTGGGGGGACGCTTGCACGTTTAAACTGGCTAAGATTTTGCCACTAAATCCAGATCTAAAGTGTCAGATAATATAACAAAAACGAGTTTATTTTTGGTTTTATTATTTTTTGTAATAATCTCAATGCAGAGTACTAAAAAACCGACCTCATAAGTTCGTAGAATTACATCTATTTGCCAAGTTTTATTAAAATCGGTTACCGGCAAGTTCGCGAAACCGGATTCATCCCCTGGTTGGCACACTTAGAGGAAGAATATTTTTTTAAATTTAAATGGGACCAATACGGGATACCCTCTTTCATATACAAAAAGAATGATCAAAATCTGCTCACAAATCGTGTGCTATCGCGTAACATACATACAAAAAACACTTCACTCCACGCATGAAGGCCAATCATTGTTGTTTATTTTCTTTTTAACCGACTTGGAGGAGTTGAGAACCTCCACATTTTTTTTGTATGTATGTACTCCGGTATAACTCCGGTATCATCCACCAATAAGGGTGGCTGTTCACGTATGAAGATTCATTTTTATAAATAGCGCCTAAATTTTACTTAAGGAGCAATTATTTTAATGGTTGATTTTGCTATTTCTCAAATTCAAGGCGTTTTTCTCTCAATATACTTTGAGTAGTGAGAACCGATTTTTATTATCTCCAGTGTTGTATAGTGGCGAATTTATTCAATAAAACTTAGCAAATAGTCGTAATTCCACGTACTTTTGAGGTCGAGTTTCTTAGTACTCTGTACTGAGATTATTTATACTCTATCTTTTTTAATTATTTAGTTTAGTTTTTGGCTACTATTATCATACCTTTATTTTTTTACTTGTACTACAATAGAAAATCTCTTGTGATTGTGCTTATCGGGAGGAATCTCACCTCCAAGATACAGTATCATATTAGTTTGGAAGTCAGAGCATCATGATTTTGTAATACTTAATTTATTTGATAAATAAAGAAAGATTGTTAAAAACAATACAGGCGAAATAAAAACCTCTTCCTTTTTTGAAGTCGGTTAAAAAGTCATGGTACAAAAGTTGTTGTTTATTATGTTAGTAATATAGTCCTGAGAGGTTGTTAGTGTTTTAAAAATAACTGTATATTTCTAAATTATTATATAAATACACCGGAAGCAGCAATATTTCACAACCCTTTGAAAACGTGTGTCGGAAAAGGGAAAATTTCCCAACCCGCATTATGGCCTCAGCAGAGAATAAAGAATGAGAGAACGGACACTCTCCTCCCCTCCCTAGTTTTAGATACCGCACCACACCCCGCACATTGCCGGTCACATTGACTGAACGACAACAAGGCTGCCGGCGAGCCGTTTTCGCGCTAAGACGGCTTTGATTATTTGAATATAGTTTTCATTTATTCATTACGAAACTTGTACGTTAATATAAAACATCATTTTACGTTACTATTTATAATGATTGTGACTTGTGCTGTGTACGGCTGTTTATCATCATTTTCCGAAAGATGAAACGAAGTAACTCAGAACTCATTCAGTTATTGTTTTCTTCATTTATTGCTGATCAATATTACGTAGGTAGTGAATATATCTAAGTATTAACTGAACTTGGACAAGCAATTTCAAATACATTGGTTACCTTACTTAAAAGTAAATGTTCGAAAAATAACATTTTAAATGCTTTTAATATATTTTTGAAATAAATCTTCAATTTACTCATATTAGTGAATTAAAGAAAAATATAATAATATATCGATATAAATACCTAATAGACATATATAATTATTAGAATTCTATTAATAGAATCATAGATAACAGATTCGCGTTAGAATTTTCGCTATGTTGCCGCTCCGACCACGTAACGTAATAGTGCGAAAAAGATGATGATGGGTAACCCTGTCACTTCACGCACACATTTGCGCGTGTGCAGATAGCGCCTTGCTGTATGTAGTAGTAGTAGGTAAATAATTTTCGACAGTTGTATGGAGTGTCCGGGGTGTGGCCGTAGGTTAGGTAGGACAGAGGCTACCCGTGCCCAGCTGTGAAACGTATGTGTTGATGATGTTGTTGTTATGTTGTACGTTGCCAATAATCTGAAACAATTATTTTTTCAGATATACAGCCCCCTAGCGTGCGAGCTCTGTGCCGAGGTATTCACAGTACCAGCAGCATGGGTGCGACACGTACAAGGGCATGGCATTGACCAACATCACACGAGGAAACGGAAAAATCGATCGGCTGTAAGTATCATGACTAGTTGCATATATTGTGTAGCATATAGCCTTATTCCATTTTCTCTATTTAATAATTATTTTGCGATTTTAAATTAATCTTAAAACTAGCGTTTAAAATTAATGCTGTTGAATAAACGTAATTCACATTTTAACCGTATCTTCAAGCTTCCTACTACTTACTGTGACTAACGCCATCTAGTGCGCCACATAGGAAATTGTACAGACTTTAATTAATTTAAACTGCCTCCGTGGCCGAACGGTTACCATGCCGGACAGCCATGCAGACGTCTCAGGTTCGATTCCCGGGCCGGGAGAAATATTTGTATGGCCAACATTTATTTGTCTCGTGAGTTTGGGTGTAATTTGTAATTGTCTATTTGTGTGTCCATGGCACCCGCGACACAGGGTTTCCCTAGTGCGGGGCTGTGTCGAGTGTGTGCGTTATTATTATTATTATTATTGTATTTGCTGTAATTTATAAATATGGGTCAAATTGCCTGAAATAAATGATTATTATTATTATTATTATTATTAAATGTACTATATATTTGAAGATCACAATGACACGAACAAAATTTGTTTGGGAGAAGACATAGGTTTATGTCCTATATTATTGAAAGTGAATATGTAAAATTAAGACAAATGTGAAATATATGAAGTAGTAATACAGATTCTGTTTAATTGGTATAGTAGGAACTATAATAAAAGTTATTCAGATATTGATATTTTAACTATTTTTAAGTTTATTTTTCAAAAAGGTTTAATGAAATTAGGAATACAAAAGTCGAACACCAAGAAAATTCCTTCGATCCAGCTGGATTCAAACCAGAGCGTCTTCAGCATACCAAGCCGAATACGTTGGTTCGAATGCAGCCGGATCGACGGAATATTTCTTAGTGTTCGATCTTTATATTAATAATTATAACAGAGTAATTTCACAAAAAAATATTGAACATCATGATAGTAAAACATTGTGTTATGCAATAATCGTCATATTGAATTTATTTGTTAGAATTCTGTGCATATTATCAAAAGTTCCAAAGTGTTTTTTAGTATTGAATTAGCTTCAAATATTTTACATACTTTGTACTTAGTTAGTGTGTCTCAAATAAATATAAATTATTTCTGCAACAGAGCGATGATACAGAAGACACAATGGCTTTGTTACGCTGTGACCTCTGCCAGAAACACTTCCCAAACCCTGCTGAGTGGGTTCGTCATATTAAGAGCACTCACACCGAAATAGGTTAGTATTTGTTCTTTTTGCTTCAAACAAATACAATACTGTTAGTCCCTTCTTTAATCAAGGCATTATTTGTTACAATTAAGCAAGACTGTTTGAAGTACCTGAATATTTTTTAAATAAGAATTTATAATAGCTGTCCCATTTGTGGGGCAAAGTCATCATTCCCACTGCATCTCCACCTTAGAGGAAGGAAAAATAAATTCCATAGTCTAAGTTCCCCACACGTTTTTGTTTTGGCAGGCCATACTTTTGGCAAAGCTGTCTAGATCGTCACGCCATCTTCAGCGCGGTTTGGTTCTTCTTTTTTAAAGTATTATAGCGATAGGTATTCTATCGATTCGTCAAATTAAAAAAGACACGCGTTTATTACTTAGAATGATGGGTGAATTTCGATGATATAGTTTGCTGTGAGGAGAATTTGGTGTGTTGGTCTATTGAATGACAGCACACAACTACGTTGTTCAATTTTGTGCCAATAGATGGCGCCTGGAAGTGTTCCATTTCTAGAGTTTTCTAAACGCCATCTGTAAAGAGTGACGAGAACACAAATTAAAAATAGACACATTTTTTTCTAAGAACACTGGACGCTGCCTACAAACATAAATTTATTTGATGACCTAGGTCAGGAAATGCATTCTAGGTATCCCGGACTGATCATACTAATTTATTACACCAATTATTTAGTCCTCTATTAATAAATAAACGGACTATATATAGTTATTGGATGTTAAATAGTGCTACACAATGTACAATAAATGTTTAGGTCAACTGTAACTGTCCTAGGCAGATCCTAAATAAGTCTGTATGTTCACTTTAAAAACCATAAAATTATAAGCTCTATTAGATATAGAATTAATAAATAATTCTGTTTATTAACAAATAATATTTTTTCAAATCTGAGCTTCTAATTTTTGTTAGTAAAGAATTTAAGACGTACCATCGATTAGGGAACAATCGAAGCGGAAATTATCCGGCTAATACGTAGCCAGATGTTTTTAACCGATTTAAAAAAGAGGAGGTTCTACTGAAAAAAAAACTTCTACTGTTATAAATAAAAAAAAATATTAGCTGCAATTTCCGCTACAATTGTCCCTTGTCTTGTTTATACAAAGATTTATAAACAATTCCACTAACATAGCTGAAACCTGATTGTTAATGTATGTGGCAGATTCTCGGCTGAACTGTACATCGAGACACAAGAGAATATTTAACGTTAATTTGTGAGCCTGATCCTTGCTTGTTACAATTTTTATTTTACTAATTTCCAACACACCTCGCTACACTCATGATAATCACTTCAGTTATGTTCTTAATATTGTCTTGACCTTGTGATGCTTTGTTTGTACGCTTCAAGATCACTAAAGTTTATTTCTACATCAAACAGAGCAATGCAATGTAACCCCGCAGCTGAATAAACCCTGTTCTAAATGTCGTTCGATGTCGGTTGTCTAGAATTGGCCATATCAAACAACAGTCAGCTACCAAAACGCCACAATCGTTTCACAGAGGGCGTGCAAAACAAGACTTGTTCGCACTGCAAGAAGATATTCCCATCGCATGCGTCTATGCTCATTCATATGCGAACTCATACAGGTAAGTTTAAAACTGTATTAATAACTGCGATGAAATAAACCGCCACACAATAAAGCGCCACAGTGTGGGTTTTAACCCTAATGCCGAGTATTTATTAGCAGAAATCGTAAGTCCATAAATCACTGTTATACTGGGAAAAACAATTGGGTATTTTCATTGACTTACAAATAAATGGACGACGGGTCTAATACAAAAACCACGAAAAAAATGTCCCAAGTCAACCTATTTAAACGTAGTGACATGTAAAGGAATATGAAACAGCTAAAACGTTGAATTTAAATTGTAATGTCATCGCAGTACTGCTAATTTTGCTTGCTTCGCTGTCAGTCGAACAAACGAAGACTAAAGCGTGAATGACGCTCTGTATACGATTTTAACGCCCTATAAGTTCGGACACTTTTTAGCGCGGACCCGACGTCCATATAATTGTAAGTCAATAGGTATTTCACAAAAAATACTTTGAAATTAATTCAATTGAAATTTCAACAACGAATATTTGTTAAAAATACCATGGTCGTCGACATTAATTTGTAACAGACAACTCCACATTTTATGCTCTCTTCCGTCAACTAACTAAAACGGGGCTAAGTGACAAGCGCTCAAATATCCGTTTTAAACTGCATAAGATAGAGCTCAAAATTATCTATTTAAAAAAGTTATTTAAATATTTAAAGTTATACCGACATTATGATGCATAGCTAAAATATCATTAAACAAATTCTATAATCTAAAACTGTGTTAAGGTTTTTTATGATCTCTTTGAAAATGACTGTCACACAGCCGCGTGTTACTAAAAATATGTAAATATTTGAGGGTGGAAATTTATGCGTTTTCTTATAGTTAAGTCGTTATTTAGGTGTGGATCGTCGACCTCATCGTCATTTTTCATCAAGTGAGATGGTGGTTAAATGAAAACGGTGTTTTTTATGAATAAAAGAAAGTAATTTTCTGTAAAAACTCCAAATATTTTGTTTTAAATTCGAAATAATGTAAACTTAAGTAACAACGTTTCCGTTTGATATGCTCCAGTGTAAGGGCTGATACATTTGGAATTTAATTTGGCGAAATTTTCAAAAACTAATTATTAATATAGACACAGCATTTCAAACAACCTATCAAGTTAAGTACCAACTGTAACTATAGAGCGATTGTTACACATAGGAAATTAAACTATTATTATTATTAAGAGCGCCTTACAGTCACGGCTGACTGATCATGGCACTTGTAAAGCTACCAGGAATTTTGAATAGTTTGAAAAAACAAGAATACGCAATTTAGATCCCAAAAAAATATAGTTTCATTTCCTATATCGAGTTCCAATGTTTCGGGCCCTTTACAAGTTCTAGCCAACCGTGACCATGGGACTTGTAAAGGGCCCGAAACGTTGGTTTGTTTGAAAAACAAATATACGCGATTTAAATCCGGAAAAATAGTTTCATTCATTTCTTATATTACTGTAACGGCAAAGAACTTTATCCGGCCACAGCTAAACTGTAAACTATAAACACGTGTTTCAATTTAGAAAATCATAAGCTTGCGATTTAATAACAAATATTTAATTATAATATATATTTAATTATAATGTCAGTGGAGTTTCGATTGAATTAGGCTTACGGATATGTAGTAGCGTTGAACCAGTTTTAAGCTTTCAAGGGCGGTTTACTTCTATACGAAATAAAATCATTTTGTATTTGAAATAAGGTTCATTCAAGACCAGTTTCATTACTCAGAAGTAAACAGACAGCTACGGAGTAGTTGCAAATGTAATTAGTGAAATGGATTCTAAGTTTAGCGTGGTCAAAGGATCGAACTAAGTTTGAAATAGGTGGTCGACGGCAAAAAGCACGCAACATTAGTACACACTCAATTGGTAATTATTTACCTCTTTTTTTTCCGTCTCACATGTAATGTGGTGGTGCTATTGTTATAATTGCATTAATTTAACACTTCGGTTCCAGGCGAACGCCCATTCGTATGCGGATTATGCAACAAAGGTTTCAACGTGAAGTCAAACTTGTTGCGGCATTTGCGAACCCTTCACGACCAGATCATGAGCCCCGAACAGGTCGAGACCGAAGGGGGGGATGATGAGGCGACGGAGGAGGAGGCGGGTCCGTCAGAGGTAAATAAATGTGACGGTGTGACCTCCTTCTACCGTCATCCCACCTTTTTGTATCGCCTCTCTCCATTCGTATCGTATCGTTTTTTCTTCTTCTACTCTTATTTAAATATAAAATTGTTCCATTTTACCTCGCATTCTGATTTTGTTTCTTTCCATCGTTACTCTCTGCGCGACCGCGGTAGGGAACGTACCACTATTTATCTTTTTGAATCGTTTACTAACTATATTTATACAGTTTATATTTTAAAGATTATATTTGTTAAAACCGAATAAATAAACCGATTAAACATCTATAAACTGGGCTTTCAACGTTTGAATTGCTAAATTTACTAAATAAGATGTTGGAGGATGTATCCAGGCTACACACCATTACAATCCACCAGACCGCCCCAGCACCAGAAGCACCTCCACACTGGCGCCCGAACAGGGAACAGTCTTCAATCTTATTTAGTAATTTTGAGAGTCACGATGGAAAGAAATAAAATCAGAATGCGAGGTAAAATGGAACAATTTTAAATTTAAATGTGAGTAGAAGAAGAACAAACGATACGATGCGAATGGAGAGAGGCGATACAAAAAGGTGGGAAGACGGTATAAGGAGGTCACATCGTCACATGCATAATAATTAATAAACTAGAAATATTCTGGTATTCAGTCGAGACCACGACTGCATGAAGTTGATAACGACTTCACGCATTAACTGCATGCAGCCGAAACCGACTTCATGCAGCCAAGATCAACTGCATGCATGTTGACTGACTACTGCTATTAGCAGCCTTAGTCCTCGATCTGGGAAAATGCTTTTTTGAAGTCGGTTAAAAATAGACTTTTCTGAAAAGTTGTTATTTTGCAAACGTGACCTTATTAAACTGATGGTGCGAATTTTTCTTAAACTAGGGTTATCAAATTCAATATTTAGAACACCCAGACCATAATCAATTCAAAAAGTTTGTTCCTCAAATTGGTTCTACCGGGAATCAAATCCTTATACAGGGTCTATATTTCTAACATCATTAACAACAAGTTTTGTTCCATTACTTGTTACATAATAAATTCACCAAAAATAAACTATAAAGTTTTTGTTGTACTATCTGACAGACACTTTTTAGATCTGCATTTGGTAATAAGGTAGTAAGTTCAAACTGGTACTTACGCTAACACTTCCTTTTGTTACTATACACAGCTATCACCGTTTAGAGCTTCTTCTTCTTTTGCCTGGCCTTATTCCCATTTATTTGAGGTCGACCCTCCTGGTCACTCTTCTCGAAGACTGTCCTGGTTCGTCTTTGGTCTTAACTGATGCTCTCACAGATCTTTATTAATAAGGGATATGTATGCAGGCGAGGTCTACCACGTCCTTTGGGCTGGCTACTCATGTCAAGGACTTTCCTTGTCATATGATCAGGCGGTCGTCGCATAACATGTCCGTACCACATAAGTCGGCTCTCTAGCATCTTTTCCAGGATAGGCCTCACCATAAAACTCCTCTAATGTGGATGTGTTTGACGTAATCTTGGATCAGGATCTTGTAACGCCGGTCGCTCATCTTAGCATTTTCATTCGTTTAGAGGATCTATTTAAATATTTTTATATGAAAGTAAAATTTAATAAATTATTAAATTATCCTGTACAGAGATCGTCAAATAGGTGAAGGACTTCTTTCTGGTCACGACTGGAGTCTACTCTTGTTCTTATTTCGTTCGGCCCAATTTTTGCTCGACATGTTTCGAACCAATTCGTGGTCCTTAATCATGAGATTCCGCGGCGGTGACTCGACGGAAACTGCGCGCCAAAGCCCTGGCAGCCCGATCACTCAGTACGGCAGCGGGCGCAGGCGGCTTCGGCGAAAAACAAACCTCGTTTGCTTCATTTTTATTAAAGTCATATGCAGGATTGCACACTAGACTAACAACGTCACTTTCTAAAGTCTCGTCTACACTAACCACTGACGTGGTACCTAACACTGTTTTCCAGCCGGGGTTATCTAAAATCTACTATCACGATTGAAATTCGAATGACGACCAATCTCGATAGCTTCACGTACTTTCCGCGGAATTAAATGCTTTTTTATCGCCAGTACGGAATGAAGTTTCATTCGCATCCTGCGATAAAAATAAATAAATTTGATCGAGTATTACTTATTTGACAGTAATTGTTTCGGACGGATAAGGAGAGTATAGGACCTCGAACGAACGCATTTCTGTGGCTCTAGTGAAAAGAGGTAGAAGTAAAAAAAAAACAACTTTACAAGGAGATGCGAAAAACGCCTGCGGCTCTAGTGGAAAAGGATACAAGTCAAAAAAGCCAACTTTACAAGGAGACGCGAAATACAATTGAAGCTTAATGTGACATTAAGCTTTAAGTGTTTTTCGCGTTTCCTGGTAAAGTTGGCTTTTTCAACTTGTACCCCTTTTGATTAGCCACATATTGAATGTTTGGGGTGGTGTTGCAGGTGAAGCGCGAGTCTTGAGGGCGCGGAGGGGGTGCGGGGCGGCGCGGGAGGCGCGGCGCCGGCGCCTCGGCGCAGGTCGAGAAGACGGCAGCCGCGCGCAAGCAGGGCTACTCGCTCTTCCTGAAGCAGCGCGCCGTGCTGTTCTCGGCCAAGAAGTGGAAGCAGTAACGTCGCGGGTCGCTAACGACTCCTGCCGGATGTCGCACTCCTCGCCTCGGGGACGGTAGTGCGGCTTTACACGTTCTTTTAGTTCGTCGGTGTCCGTTTGGTATCGGAATCGTAGCGACGTCGCGACTGTCGGATCTTTCACTTTTACCCGTCACCCCCTCGGATTTAGTACTTAATCGCGTAAAGGGCGGCAAGTCACATTTCGACCCTCGCCATCTTGCGGAACTTTAAACGACTAACTATAACAGTTGAACGGTCTCTTGATACTTGTTGTTGTTACAGGTTTATGTTAATAAACGGTGATAAGAGAGACCGCGAATACCTTAAAAAATAAAAGTGTAAGAAACAAGCGCAAGTGAAATTTCACAGGGCAACTCTACTTACAATAAGTAAACGAATTTAATGAAAATATTCTTTATTACACACTAAACTGCACACATCAAAAGTGTCTAGGGATCAAGCACGTTTTTGCCTAAAATGTAACACCAATGTTTTTTTAGTCAAATACATAATTTAAACAATAAATAAATAATTTAATAAATGCTATACATCTGTTTATTTAATTTTAATAGGGTAACAAATTTTTTCGAAAAATTGTCTTGATCCCTAGACATTTTTGATGACTGTACATACTAAAATATGGTTATGTGCAACAGGCGGCCTTATTGTTGAGTAGCAATTCTTTCCAGGCAACCTTAGAATAGAAAATAGGAGGATTTCTAATAAACCTCAGAAAGTTTTCTCTACAAAACGCAATCGTGCGTCCTAACTGCATAGTGACTGCATAGTCACACCACGAAATTTCACTTTTTTTCAGGGTCCAAACGTAACTTGTCAACCTTTTACTTTATTTTAATAAATTTTAACAATTGACATTGTTTCTCCTAAGTCCCTAATTATAACTTAATTGTATTTTAAGTGATTTCATAATTATTTAACGTAATTTTTACATCGCAATTGAATTTTGCATTAGCTTCAAACATCATTGGATTAAGTGATTCCGCCTTTTGTAAGACGAATATATAGTACTTACTTTATTTACTTAGAAGACTCTAGTTATATTTCTTTGTAACTTGACTGTCCTATCTGTAACTTTAAAATTATCTAACATAAAGAGTATTTCTAGTGACATTTTTATATGTATTAAACATATGTGTCAAAAACCAAATTATTTGTCTCAAACTAGGAAAGGATCCGTTCATTTTTGGGCTCAATTGTGTATCGAGGTACGACTTATGTCAAAAAAATTCAAAAATTATATAGGACAATATCCATTAACTGAAATATTTTTAATTTTAATAGAAATTACTGAAAAATGCAATTCTACCATTATAAGAATAACGATACTGCGTTCGACGAAACGTGTATTGTCGTAATCTGACAGCTGTCACTGCAGCAAATAATTGGCTTCGTTTATTTAGATATAAAATAAAGGAAAGGAGCTGACCTATCTAAGGAATAAACGTACCTATCTAAACCAAAAATGTCCACAACAAATGGCGGATTTAGTGTTGTACCATAATCATAGATAAGTCAATATCGACATGCAAATGTATGGCTTGAATGTTGAAACTGTTTTTTATGTTTGCTAATTTGTATAGTTTACTGTAATTAAAGTATGATTATTACTAGGCAAGTAATAAGCCATTTTAATCAAAATGAAAATAAAGTTATTTACCAATAAATGTAATGATGGAATTGCATTATCATGTAATCTAGTTACATTCAAAGTTCTATTAAAATTTGACTTTAAAATGGAGCGAACAAACGAAGATGGTATTTGATCCAATGTTTATGCTCGGCAGTCCTATAATTTCCAACCATTCTTTCTTTCTTTTTTCGTTTGTAGGTAAACTTTAAAAATAATAATGTAATAATAAAAACCTCGTAGTGAATTGTTTTAATAACAGAATATCGATAATATGTCTGCTTACAAGAACTACACTATCTCAAAGTAATCGTTATCAACAATCACCAAAATATACTAACAAACAGGCAATGTAAAGTAACCAAAGCAAAATTCGGCAAGTCTTGTGAACAAACTACTTAAATGAGTCTAATTACATTGTATGGTTTATAGGCAGAAAAATAACACATGCCGGTGTAATGTAACATTCGGTTGATTTCCGTTTTTCTACTGCCGCAGCCCTTAATGCTGCAACGACGCATTTTAATCAATACTTAATTGTTCTCACTGTCAATATTTTTGTTCATTTCATTACAGTTCATGCGAATAATTCACTAAAACGTTTGGCCAAACATTGGTTTTGACATTTGATGTACTTTCTTTTGACAACCGGAAACGGTTATCAAAGTGTACTACAAAAATGGCAAAATGAGGACAGTTGGTATTTAAGATGACGTTACGTATTTTCAATTCCCGTATTTGACATAAACCAATGTAGTGCTATCTCTTTTGGCTTACGACGGCACGCAGTAGTTAAACAAAGACAATAAAATATATATATTTTTTCACCGTCTAAATGCATCATATACATATAACGTCTGATTTATATATGTCAATATAACGTGTCCTTTGGTTTCCATATTAGAAAATGGAAATAGAAACTATCGAAAGAATGTCTGTAAAGAAAACTCAAAAGTCAGTGATTAATAAATCAAAACCACAATAGTAATATAGCTTAGTGGCCGCCATTAAGGAAATAGAATAGGATATCCCAGAGAAGCGAATGAAACGAAACATGGGAATAAAAAATGCTTATGACGTTAACGTATCGACCGTATCAATATGTGACATTTAAATACTTAAACAGCTTGGGACATAGTCTTTAAGCAACCTTATTAGATATTATAATAATTAATAATGGACTCGTAATGAATAAATTATAAAAAAAAATTGTGGATGTTAAGTAATTCCGGATAGTTGTATACCTTCCACTGGAAGCATAGACATTGCCATGTATAATTATTGTGTTGTTAGTAATTTATATGTTCGAACGATAATTTTGATTAGTACAAATTATTGATAAATTCTATTTAATTTTTTTATGAATTCGCCGTAATTTTTATTCAAAAATATGTTATATATATAGTACTGGAGGTACAACTTTGGGCCCAAGTTGTATGGAAGAAAAAATGGTTCCTTTCCTGTATTGAGCACCAGAGCAATTGAATTCACTTTGAAGCACTACCCAGAACACTTAAGGCAGAACCAATTTAGTAAAGTGCGCTTTACTAATGATCCTGCCGGTAATCTAAACCCGGGACTTTCTTAGCCAGTGCCTACAATGCAAACCTCCTTATCCACGGACACGGAGAGAAAGTACTATGTAGATACTGTTACTTAGGCTCAATTTACATTGCGGCGGATGCTCTAGCATTCGCGTATTTTCTCGTTTCTGCGACTTGAGGCTACAGTTATTCCGTCGACACCAGGCGTCGCCGATGGCAGCTGCGGAATTCTCGCGAATGCGCGTGTTCCGCGGAAGACGCGAAACGTGATTTTTGGCTCGTATCTACTTTGTACGTTAAACAATTGACCATAAAGTTCATTACGCCATGTACAATATCGCTACAAAAATTCGCTTTCAATCCGTTCCGCCGCAATATAAATTGTGCCTTAAAAGGAATTAATCCTTACAATTGACCCTTTCGATCGCATCATAACAGTACAGGTGCTTTTTTTTTCATATTTGGTCGGGTCGATTTCCAGAGGAAGCAACTTTTCCAAGTCTTTTAATGCACTATTACTTACTTTTGAAAAATAATGTCTTCACGAACCGAACCGAAATAATCAGGATATTATCCTATCTACAATGTTTTAACACGTTCAGATCCCCAGGCCGAAATCAACCCCGCCGAAGTCCACGGCAATTGTGAAATATTTTTGTTTTTGTCTTTTACTCTCACTTTATGTGCAATCCCAATTATTTTGTTATTTTTGAAAAATTACACTTTCTTTTGTAAGACCAATTCACAAGTTTAAAAAAAAATTAGGGCTTTGATCTGATTTGAAGTCCAGTTGCGAATAGAGATGGGTTTTTACCTGATAAATATCCGTCCAAGGATAAATATCCAATAAATATCCTTTTTTACTGAGTATTTATCCTAAAACATGGATTATATATTATTTATTTGTGTTTTTTATAATAAAATTCATTACAATTCATTTTTATTAAATAATTACGTACGATTACTTCTCATTCTGCCATTGTTTTAAGTAACAATACTGTTTTAGTACCTATGTTTTTCGAGTCTATAACATCTCACTAATTGCGCGAACATGCTCTTGTAATGTAACGTTCAAAAGCGAGCATTACAGGCGGTGAAGGAGGTGAGCCGAGCATTCGCTGCGTAACATTCGGTAACCTCGTTCGCCGGGAGCATTCGCCTGTAATGTAACAATCTGTTCAGATTGTAAGGTTGCGAATCCACCAGATGTGATGGAAATTTTTCAAGTCTTTACTTAAGTTAAGTGCCTGTTAAGGTACTCAAAGGCACTCGCGGGCACTCAAAGGCACTAGCGGGCACTCCTTTTTTTTTGTCTGGGGGGAAATCTTTATGGATACCCCTGAGCCCAGGGAGACTCGGGGGTTATGTGGGACTAGCGGGCATTCCTGGCTCTCGCAGAGCACGCACGCCTTACTACCTCGCTCATCTCTGGTGGAATCGCAGTCTAATCGAATCTTGAATGTTACATTACGGACGAATTTTCTCGGCACCTTTATTCTATATACGAAGCTGAACAAATGTACAAAAACGGACCAACTTAGTAACTTGGAAAAAAATCCATAGAAAATGTTAGACAACTGGTTAATATTGTGTGGAGACAATTTTTTTAACAAACTACGCATTTAAATAATAATAAGGTTCACGCAAAAATACAGGGATTTACAAAAGGATTATTTTTATCACTGCATATAGAAAAAATGTGTAACAAGCAACATACTACACGTACATGCAACAACATTGTATCAATGTTCACAATTAAGCTTAAAAATATACTTTGTTTTACTAAATGTAAATAATAAACCACGATTAAAAATATTTATCCATGTTTTTGAATAAATATCGAGTAAAAATGGACATTTATCCGTATTTATCTTTCTACTGAGTATTTATCCCAATGATATTTGTCCATGGCTCATCTCTAGTTGCGACACCATAGCTATACGTGAACTTACGTTTGAAGTCAATTTGCGACTCCAGGTGGAGTCATGGGACTGTATACGTGTTAAAGTAGTCCCTTCGTATCCCTTAGCCCTAGGACAACTGTACAAAAATAAAAAGCCCCTTCATGATAATGATAGAGTTACAGATTATTGGATCTTTGAGTATTGAACATTCCATTAGTTGCCACAAATACCAATATCTAGTCGTTAGGAATAACATTCTATGGTCGCCGTGGATCCAAATTTATGTACTTCTAGATTTAAGATTAATTTGTATGTAATTAACAGTGGAGCTTTAAGTTTAGCATTCCATTTCATGTTAGAAGTATTATTTATTTTACAAACGTATTGTACGTGCTTTTTATTTATATACGTGCTGGTGTATTCTTGATTTCTCAATACTCATGTGAAACATGGACATGATTTTGGTTTTGTACTATTTCTAAGATAGTATGTGGATAATAAAATTTTGAAATTACTAATGACTTTGAAATGATACAATTATTTGTGAAAAAATATTGTTTATTTCTCTTTCACATTAAAAGAAGTGAACACTATTTACATTATAGTATTTTTTTCTCTTATGACATGGTTTTGTTATATAAAGTGTATACGCATATACGCATTTACTTGATACGTAGATAACTTGATACTGAGAACAGGCCGTGGAATAATAGTTACGAAATACGCGATAAAAATTAATACTAAAGTAGTTCAACTATCTTCTTCTTCGATCTTCGGCGCCAAGTAGTAGCGAATGTGGCCAATATCCGGAATGCGGTACTCTACTACTAATGGGACGTCAGCAGACATGGACAGTTGGACCTGCGAAATGTCAATCGTTGCTATGAGCCAGAATAGAAAAAACTTCTAGAAGCACTTGCATGATTTTGTACATCATCATTCAGCAAACTACACCGCGTAAGTAGAAAATATACGATATTTACTTTTGAATGTTACTGAAGTCAAAATATAACATGAATATCAATAAAAATTATACTACAAATACAGGTACACTTTTTTGTTTACCATAATAGAGCATCTATTACTATCGCTTAAAAAATGTTGTTTACGCGAAATACTCATTTCAAATACTAGAGAAAATTATGGTGGTCACCATAATCCTTTACATACGTATATAAATACTATCAATCAGATCTCTACTGGAATAGATAGAGATTATCCATGCTTCTGATATATTCACCTGACATACATATATCGTTATTATTGGAACTTTTTACCTACGCTTTTTTTAGGATTCATTCATTAGAACGTGCGTTCATCTGAACTGATTATGTACCTGGGGGCTCAAGGAAGTGGCCTTGGTGAAGTAGTTGAGGTACTGGCACGCGAAGGTGAGTGTGACTGGCTCGTCCATTTCGATGACAACCGCCTCATCTTCCTTGTCTATAGACGCCGTCTGAGCCAGCTTTATGTTCGCCGAGCCAATGTCGCCCGACGCCGAGAACTTTACTCCTGAGACGCAAAATATACCATACTTTTGAATTTGTTTCACTATTGCTTACAGGACCGTAGTCTACGTACAGTATTCTAAAATGGTTGAAGAGTGCATGAAATTAGGGAATATTTATTTATTTTGTTTAAGATGGTACAAACACAGATAATACAATACTATACTAGGTACAAATATGTTAAGTCAGTATTTAATTACTTGGCCATAAATCTAGCAACACACATGTTGATGATAAAATAGTGGCCTATCTTAAAATCGATAATTCGTCAGGAAAATGGTTTACAAAAAAAATGCAAAAAAAAAAACTAAAAGACCGTCAAAAGTCAACAAGTCATACACCGGTCCATGTTATCACTTGTTTATTTTGACGGTACCTATATATAATTTTGACCAATAGAAAGCTTGGTGTTTTTTTCTCAATAAAATTTAGCGTATTCTGAATGCAGCTGCGTCATAGGATTAATATGAACTGGGTTTGTTGGAGCCACTGTTCTTGAAAAGCAGCAATGTATCTTTGGTGTAAATATATAAGCAAATGAAGCGAAACCAAGTTCATCAAAGAGACCAGTTGTAAAGAATATTTTTTTAAATTGACTCACCTTCTTTAGTGCAGGATATGACCATAGACTCTCCAAACTGCGAGAGGTCGCGGCAGATTCGCGCGAACTCGCCGCTGGGCAAACGAATCGTGCAGCTGTACTCGGTCTCAGGGATACCTGGTAAATTCAGGAAACAATCAAGAAAGTGTAGAACATTTTATAAAGTTAGTACCAGATATATCTAGGAAAATATGGATCTTTTGTTCCACAGGGTTTAAGAGCTACGGCGGTGGCAAGGAAGGTACCATTGCCTTACCAATTTCATCCACAAAGTAGCACTGCTGTGCTCAGAGTCCTATATAATCTTAGACACAGGCTTTGCTATAATCTCAGTTTTGTATACACTACCGTAGCCGTATATGTAAAACGATGTACAGTTGGTACAGATGGTGCACAGCTATAACTGTTAGTAATAATTTTAGATAAAAACTCAATTTGCATATAATATGTCACTTCAAGATAAAACAGTACAAACATTTGGAAACGGGAATAAACGCGTTTACATACAAATAGGTATTTTTCACACCTAATAGTTTTCCGACGTCATGTTCCGTGGTCACGGGCTGACTCAATAGTACAATCTTTGAACTGCTTATCTGTCTGATGAAATGTATCCTAGCTACATTAGCCATTTCCAGGGTGGGTTGAGTTTGTATAAAGTTTCACAGATTTTATAATTTAAAAATGAATCACGAACCACTCACCTAAATGCTCCAAATCAAGATTCATGAGTTTCATTTCATAGTCAGAGACTTTCTCCTGGTTGGGGCTCTCAAAGACGAATGTAACTGTGTCAGCGTTGTCCTGCGCCTTTATAGTTACTGTATCCTTGTCTCCTGCACATTTAAGGATCTTGGACATACTGGAACAGAGAAATCGTAACTTTAGTTGGCAGAAAAATTATAGCTGTTGTAGAATCTATACAATTTACATAAGTGCTAAATTCTCTTGAGCTCACAAAGCAAATTAATAACACAAAATTTATTTACTAAAATTCATACATAAATATCTCTATAAGTGGGAGGCCAGACAATCATAATTTTGTGAGTTGCATATTTTGAGCTGTATTCGGTTTCATATAAAAATTCTGAAACTAAATCTTATAACATTTTTATTCTCACCTCCCAAGGTTCATGCCCATGGAGATATTCCTGTCGCACCTGTACTTGTCAAACCCATCTGCTCTGAGGGTGAGGGAGACCAGGGACACGTGAGAGTTGTCCATTGCCTGTTGACATTATTTTTTTTAATTCTAACCAATTTCCAAATAGATCACGTGATAGAACATAGACTCATCCGAAGAACAGAGTCCGATATGATAATACAGTGAAAATAGGATAAACACATAATCTCGTTATTCAAACTAAGACTTATCTATAGATATTTCCAGAATTTTTGTATCTTATTTTGTTTCTGAAAAATATAAAATTGAACAACGGTTGATTCTGTATCTACAGCAAGAACAACTAATGAATTGTGCACTGTCCTAAGAATAAGAAGTCTTGCACATAAGTCTTTGTTCTACAGATGAGTGGATATGGTATAATGGTTACTGCTCCTCATATCATCTACAATACTAAGTAGGTCCTTTGACAATTGTGGTACTATGGCACAGCTGTGTTTACATTCACCATTCTTAAAAATACCAAGATCATGGGACACATGACAGGTCTATTTGTATGCACTTTGCCAGATATGGGTATGAGCCTGTGTCTGTGTTTCTGTAGGACTCTAAACACAGCTGTGCTACTTTGTGGAAGAAATTTATAAGCCAATGGTACCTTCCCAGGCAGATTCAGTGCAATAAAACTCATATCACCAATAAATGAATACTATATTATCTAACATTTTTGGCATAACTAAGCAATTTGTATGTTTCTGATGATTCTTTGCTATTTCTTAGACTTTAAAAAAAATAAATTTGAATGAATCCAACTTTATGATTTATATTATAGTTCCATCTACAGTACAGACAATTCTGCCAAAATATACATTGAAGATATGCATTTAATAATCAGAATTTAACTAGTAATTTCTGATGGTGGTAGACTAGTCAGACATGTGTGTATTTACGTGTTATACCATCACGAAAAGGAATGCTCTAATCTCAGTAAGAATTAGCATAAAAAACACAAGTAATTGAGCTCCTTGTGAAAGAGTTCGTCCAGGCAAGTACTGCCACCTTACCTATTTCTGTTGCCAAGCAGTAATGTTAGCATTACTGTTCCGGTTTGGAAGGGTAAGGGTGCTGATGAAATTACAGGCACATAGGACTTGTCAACATATGTCTCAAGGTGACGGGCGCAGTGGCAGTGCCCTTCAGATCTTTGCGATTTAAAGCTCTGAATGGCACTGCAGCTGTTATGGACAGGTGTGTCGCTTACCATCAAACGCACAACTTATTCATAATATCACTTGATATTATAAAAAGTACACAAATTATCACAATTTGAAACTGGATATATATGTATTTCTTGATAGAACGAATTCGACACAAGCTACAGCTTATGATGTGATGCAGCTAAACAGAACATATTTTGCCCACAAAAAAATACCTTAATTTAATCAGTAGAAGAACAGTACAGGCCTGATACTACTTCATCAGTTGCATGTGGGATATAAAACACCTTGATAATACATGTAGATAGTCCTTGGCATAACCTAAAAGTGGTGCAACTTACTTGCAACTGTATTCCATTGTCGTCGCAGTCAAATGTGGCCTGTGTAAGGAGATCCTTAATGGCTTCCAGCACCTTCTTCAAGATGGAGCTCTTCAACAAGCGTGCTTCGAACATTGTCTGCTAAAATCATAACGAGAAAAACAGATCAAATAGGCACTTCAGTTCTCAAGCCACTTGTAAACGCTTTTATATATGTAATGATGCCAAGAATATCGAGAAGTCACATATAACATAGTTTGAATAAACAAAGAAATGTGCAAATAGGTAACGGTTTCAGACAAAGTTTATTGCACAATATCTTAACAGATTTTTGTACATTTTAACTATAATACATAAAAGGTATGTTATAAATCATAGATATAACGTATTTACTTACGTTTTTGATTAAATTACACGAAATTTGAATGAGAAACAAAGCACAACACACAAGTTGCTGACCTCAACGCAAAGTGACAGCCGGCTGATAGCGGGAAAAAATGGCGCGGAATTTGGATGACATTGCCTTCGTTTTTGTAGTAATTTCTTGAACTACACCACCACTTTTACTTGCGGGAAGTAACAAAATCGCTAGTAGAACTCCAGTTTTTTTTTATTATTAGCAACAATTCACAACATACAGGCTCTACTTTAGTGCGAGAAACTTGTTTTTTTACAGACTTATCTGTAATAAAAATTAAAAACACTTCAACGCTTGTCAATCATTAGTTAAATTAATTTTTATACTCTTCTGGTTGAAATTTGAAGTCACCATTAGACAGTGGATAATGATTTCAGCAAAAAATATATTTGCATGACATGAAAAAAAAAAGATTTTTGTCCAATAAACATTTATTATTAAATGTTTATTCCCACAAGTTTACTCCTAATGTGTTAATATTTACAATTTATTCCAGTCACTTTAAAAAGAACCACAAATAGTACCAAAAATTACCATTAAAAACAATTACATATGCATATAAACATTGTTTAACAGGAAAGTTGCACAATTTGGTCTTGATTAGGGTATGGTGGCAACAAGTTCAGCTTGTACTTGGTAATAATTTCTGGCGGCAAAAATCTTCCACCAAGAAAATGTTTAGCTTCACAAAGTAAGTTTGGCCGGGCACACATTTTCGGAGCTGACAGAGATATGAGCATTGCAGGTTGCAATGACTCTGGTGATATTGGACCTTTCTCTACGTCCCATCCACTGGGAACATCCACACTGAAAAAAGAGCAAAAATATGAATTAAAACCTACCTAAAAATGTGCAATATTATACATTTAAGAAAGAAACGGAGCACATCCCTTTATAAAGATGGTAAATGGCTTGAACATGTTCTTTTCCTTCTACTATCCAAATGTTGGTGGCAAATCCATTGTAGTTGTTTGTTTGTTCCATTAAGTAAACCGTACTTTTTGTGGATATCGTGAACTCATTGTTATTATGAATATGTTAAACCATTATCATAGTACAAATTCTTGCTGCTTTAGGTCAAATATAGATTAAAATTTACCTGATAACTGGTATCCCAGATCGGATTAAGGCATGCATAGCAGGCTCTAGTTCCTTTCTAACAGGTGGTTTAAAACTGAATCCAAATAAAGCATCAACTAATATTGTGTAAAAGCTTCTCAATTCACCAGGATCACTTGGTAACTCTTCCAAGATACGTACACCAAATCTTCTTGCTTGTTCCAAGAGGTTTTCATAAAGTGGTTTTGGTGTACGTTTGGGATAATACACGAATACAGTATATCCAAATAGAACCATGTGTCGGGCTGCAACTAATCCATCTCCTCCATTATTTCCTGGACCGCAGATTATTAAAGCTCTATCATAACTGTAAATAATAATAATAAACACTTTTGATACATTCTCTTTAAATGTTTGTAATAAGTAGTCTTAAAATATACATTGACATTTCCTATTGAAGAAGCCAGAGCCAGTGTTCAACAAGAACTATAAGTAAATTGAAATGATGATGAGTACATGTTGTTGTTGACAATGTGATTAGAGTACTTGAGAAATAATCCTGTAATATTATGAACTGCATAATATCTATTTTTTTTATATTCGTTTTATCTACATATTATGGTTAATTTTTATACACTTATTATCATTTAGTTTTATAAATGAACACTGTAATGCTTTTTGCTTAACTAGGAAGAATGTTATAATTATTAATACAATGATCGAACATAGAAGATGCTATGCCAACTAAGCCACAGAATGAACCAGCAGACCTCACAAATTTTTCTATGTGCTTGTTGTCGTATCTTTGGCTTTTCAACAACTTTTTAGCCTTTTTTGAAGTGTTCCATTTTTGTATGAATAATTATAACTAACTAGTGGAGTCATTTCACATAAAAAAAACATTAATATAATAATTTTCCATATATAATTTAATGTGTGTAACTCACAACTTAGAGGGATAAACACGAGCAATAGCAGTAGCGACGCTCAGACCAGCCAGTTCCATGAGCTGATCTACACTATATTTGTACTCATTGAATAACTCCTCATCCAGGGCTACAGCCTCCACTTGAGATAGGTACCGTAATTTGCCTGTAGTACTGCATGGCTGCACTGTCGTCGTCATTGTCGCGTTCCCCAGTACGTTGGCCACACGCATCTACGGAATATTCCACTACTTCTTTACTCCTGTCTGTGGGGGTGCTGTACCGCCGGTCCAATTGGAGCGATAAACTGAACTTACCAATAGTACACTGCCGAGTAACCTGGAGAATAACATTTACACGGTAATAAATGCAGAGGCAGCGATCCAAAATCGCTATAATTAAAATTAAGTTTAAAATGAAAATTATTTATTCCGCGTTTTCAACCCTTTATCAATTTTCTGACAAATGATATTCGTTTAAAAACATGGGAAAAGATTATTACAATTTATACCACCACCATTGTATAGAAATAGACCCTGTGTCCGAACGGCGCTTTAGATATTTTTTTGACACCTCTTGTTTTTGACGTAATTTTTGACAAATTTTCTCATCCGTCACAAAAATGGCTGCGCTTAGAGTTTTTAGCCGTAATATACCGTATTTACGACAGCAATTCTCAGCATTATTAGGGAATACATCACCCTCAGTGAAATTTATTTGTTGTGTCGTAGTAATAGGCTACATACTATCATTTTCCGAAGATGTTGTGAACGTCCTCAGTGTCACCCCAGGGTATTTGTTGCCACCTTCTTTCCAACTTTGGTCCACTTTTACGTTCTGGTTTCTTGAGATACACTTGTGGGAGGTGTTGATCGATATAGTGACGGTGGGACTATGTGGGAAGCTGATAGAGCCGTTATGGGGCCAAATGGAGATGATGAAGTTCTTTATGTTGACAAACTTCGGCGTCGCCTTCTTGACGACGTTTTACTACCTGGTGATCTTCGCGTGCACTGGACAAACGTCTTACCTGTTCGACATTCACGTGCATGGTTTGGCGGGTTACTTGGCCGCCGTGAGCGTTGCTGTCAAGCAGATTATGCCAGATCATCTCCTGATAAAGACACCATTAGGTTTGTACAGATAATGACTTTGCAATTCGTTAAGTGGCGGCATAGGCTCGCTCATAACTGGAAAATCTTGTTAGCAATAACAGAGCATTTATTATGTAAATAACTTGGGTGATATTTGAATGGTTTATGTGTGAAATATGTCCTTGGCCACACTACTTTGTTGAGTACATTTATTTTAAAAAAAGCGTCTTAAAATATTGGGAGTTTACACAAATTCGAATATTGAATTAAAAGGAATAACTTACACTACATATTGTATGTTGTGTTAGTAAAATGGTTTGTGTACTTGTAAAGTTTCACATTTATAATGAACAGCATAAGGCTTTCTTTACCTTCACTTTTTTTATATATTTGGGCTTGGAAAATCCTGCTTTACTAGATTATGTCATGTTATATATGCTACTCAGAAAACTCCCAATAACATAAAATTATGTGAACTTCTTTAGTTTACATACTGTACATAATTTTCTTCATTCAGTATAAATCTTATCATTGTCATTATCACACACTACATCTTTGAAAGAAAGCACTTAATTTTCTTATAGTTTTTATAGTCCTCATTTACTACATTGGTGTCATTGATAAAAATTATATTGGCACTTAATAATGAAAATTGCCTAAGTTACTTGTGAGTGATTTCAAAGGAGAGTGAATGAATTACAATATTACAGTATACAAGATTTTAAAGCTAAAGTTAGTAATAGTAGATGTTCTGCTTATGAATAACAAATAATTGTATAAGTGTTAGTTGCATCAATTTTATTGATATTCACGTTTATTTTTACTTGAAAAGTTGTTTAGTTTTATTTGATTTGAAAATAAAAACCACCAATTTTCATACCAATTTGACAATACATGACTCTATCTTAAATAGTAAATTTCAATTACATTATTATGTAACTGAAAAATCTCAATTAATTAATCATGTGAACTTTTTCTGTGAACAACAAACATTAGTAGTATTAACAAACATTACAAAATAGGCCTGTTATTTTTCCTACATCATTGGTAAAGTTTGCTTTTTGTTCCTTTTATTTCGAATTCATTACTGATGATAATTTTTAACTCTGATGCAAAAGCAGGGGGAGTTATACGTTAGAACCATTTGTCATACTTATCAAAAAGCTTTATATCCAAGTAATAAGAGCAAAAAAGACTTGTGTGTGGCATTTCAAGGAGAAGTTAAATGCACAATATCTTTTTTGCTCTTATTATACAGACAAGTTTTTGACTGGCTCAATCCAATTCAAAGTTAATTAGTGTGGTCACTCCCCGAACCAGAATGGTTCTCAGCTATATTTAATGAACATCTGCTCAGTTGTTTAAAAATTATCAGCTCTTTTTCCCAGTAAATGGATATTTATACAACAATCTAAACATTGGCAGTAATCTGAGTTTGACTCAATTTACATTGCAGTGGAACGTAAGCGTCAATTTCGCATGACTGCACTTTGAGGCTGTAGTATTTCGTTGACGTTTGACATCACATTGCGCCTGCCTTCACGCCAGTTCCCTCGGACTCACCAGACGACGCCGACGGCAGCTCTGGGGACTTTGTATCGCGGGTGCCATGGGCACACACAAAGAACTATAAATTATGCCCAAAGTCACAAGAGAAAAAAATGTGGGACTCATAAATATTTCTCCTAGCCCGGGAATCGAACCTGGGACCTCTGCGTGACAGTGCGGCATGGTGACCACGGAGGCAGTTATCTAGTTTGTACATTACACAATTGACCATAAACTTTATTACATCATTACAAAAATTCGCTTCCATTCAGTTCCGCATATAAATTGAACCTTAAATGATGGATGTTCAATTGTCGAAATTGTGTATAATACTACATGTATATAAATAAATACAAGTACATAAATTCTTTTTGAATTTCCTTGGCTTGTAATCAAATTGATTTTTCAGGGAAACTAACAAACCGGTCCATGCCCTTGCTGGTATTGATAAGTGCTATCATTCTTTGGGCCATTGGAGCTCTGGAGGGCACATATCCATGCATGTGGGGTAGTGGCGTGGTGCTCTCATGGATCTATTTGAGGTTTTGGCAAAGACACAGCAGTGGATCGAGGGGCGATATGGCTGATAATTTCAGTTTTGACAAGTAAGTTCTATTCAATTTTTGTTAAGAAATTGTATGAATTTATTGGTATGTTTCTAATTACTTAACAGCAATGTTAATCGAAATTATATTTATAATTTTATTATTGCTGTAACATTTGATCAGTGCAATCATAATTATAGTGATTAGTATTTATGAAGGTAAATTTACTATAACTAATTTCCTTGTAGTGATGACACATCAATGTTATTAATGTAAAGCGTGTTTCAGATATTGAAAATTTATGTGATTGTTCCAGTTTCTTCCCAACAGTCTTGCAGCCAGTAGTGCGAGGAATCTTAGGCCCTCCTCATCGCTGCCTAGTGCGACTAGGCGTGTGCTCGGCACAGCCACGACGGGTGCATCTCGCGATCAGCCCTCGCGGCGTCACTATCTCCATGCCTGGAGTGGAGCCACAGGACATGGAGCGAAGACGGTATGATGTGTTTTATTTTTTTATCATCATCATCAGCTTACATATGTACATTAATATGAATAATATAAATGAATGACCTTTCCAAGTGTAAAATTTTACCTATAAAATAAGGCGATTGTCACACTGCACCATGCCCCGCGATGTAGCGCGAGACGCGGAAACACGCGCGCGGTAGCGGAGACGCAGATCTGCGTCAACGCGCGGTTTAATCTGCGCGGGGGCAGCGGTCTAGCGGCCCCGCGCCACTCAAACTACTCGCTTCGTAGTTGATCGCCGTAGTGATTGCACATGTAGCTGAAATCCTTTGACAAGAATGGTTAATAATACAGAACTCGTTCAGGACGCTGCAGTTATACTGTCGATTGTTTTTGTTTACTCAAATAAAAAGACACCGAAGATAACATTCAACTTCATTACAAAGATTTAAGAAAATATGAAGATTAATTTTTCAACTACTATACGAATGTCAACTGAATCCTTTGATTATTTGTTAGGGAACATCCGAACGACAATTACTGGAATAGACACAAGTTGATTAAAAATCTGCGCGGTAGTGCGGAGCGCAGTGTGCCCCTCCGCGCGGAGGCCCGGTAAAACCGCGCGCGCCGCGCTCCCGCGCGTAGAAGCGTTGTCAGTGTGTTCGACGGCGCGTTTTTCCATAGAAACTGAGGTACTTCAGTACAACTTTAAAAAATGCAGCTCCGCGCGCCGTCGCGGGGCGCGGTGCAGTGTGTTAATCGCCTTAATGATTATTTGAGTTTGACTTTACATGCATCCACTGCTGGACATAAGCCTCCTTGAGCACGCCTTATTGTATTTTTATGTTGTATTATTTTATTACAATGACAAAATATCTAGCCTGCCTCATAGATAAGTAATTAAAATTAATAACCACCCGGTTTTAACCATTTTGTAGTTTTCATATATAAACACAATTATTCAGATTTCTTTAAAACACAAACACATACAATAGGATTTCCTTTTACTATCATGCAAATCAGCTTTGGTGGCGTGAATTAAAATGACATTGAAACAATTAATTTGATTTTTAGGCAAATCGCGCTCAAGGCCTTGAGCGAGAGGTTATCGAAGACGTCAGAGCAGACGCGACAGAAGAATTTATCAACGAAAGTAAACATGGAAAATGTGAGAAAGATGCAACAGACGCATGTAATTCCTCAGTTTCCCAGCGATGCGGCGGAGACTGCACCACCCGCGCCCATTGCTGAGGCGACGTTGGTGGATCTTGGGGACCAAGCCCCGCCAATTACGAAGAACTCATGATCCCATGAAGCCCTGCCATTCACAGACCCCATGTAAGAACCTGCCTCAAGTCCACCGCCTGAAGCTGAAGCATTTAGTGACTGATGATTAAGTGACGAAATCAAGTGCGGATATCTCTTGTGTATGTTATTTATTGTGCTTTCATCCTTCAGGCGATGCTCCACAGAAATTGTGTACGCATTTACGTTTACCGAATTTTCGATATTGAATTTCTGCACAGGAGCTGTGAATCCGTATTCTAGTATTTTTGTTTTATATGAATGTTCAATAGTATATTTTTTCCAGTATGGTCACAGTCGCGTGTATGTTCGTGTATACTAAAAAGTAATTATTTTTTGCAAATATTAATGCAATTGTTGAACGTTATGTATGATGATAGAGCGAATGAGTCTTTGTAAATATAATTGATATTGATTATTGTTAAATAAATGGTAACCAAACATTCATCAACTTTTTACTACAATTTTTTTATTGGAGTTAATTTTTTATTGAGGGACGTAGAAAACAATATTGTTACATTTGATATAATTTGTATATTTTTGAGACTTCATAAGTACATCTTGTAATTGCACATCGACTATTTATTAAACAGACATTGAATACGCTCAGAAAACTTACAATTATAACCAATTTCAACATTGATAATATGAATGTAGCTGCAGTTTTATAGACATTGACACATCTAAAATTAAAATTTAGAATTGTCCACAAATATAGCAGTCTCGTATTTAAAACAGTTCAAGCGTCAAACAGTCGAGCGATCACAAATTAACCTCGTCTCACTTCAAAATTCAAATAATGTTGAACGCAATATTCGTTTCCGTACTCGTCGCACTCTAGAACCTCGAGTTCTTCCTCGTAAACACTGCGGGGCAGAAGGGAGCGAATGGGGGGTACGGGAGCCGCGCGGGGGGGTTGGAGCCGCACGACGTCAAAGCGCTACCGGTAGTAGTGGTGTTGTTGCGGGGGCTGCCACTGCGGAACACTGGCCCCGCCGTAGCCGCCGTCGGGCCAGCGCGTGGGCTCGCCCAGCGGCGCGGCGCCCAGAGGGACCGCGGTCGGCATCGGCGTCACGCCCACGCTTGTGCTCATTGTAGGCGCTGTAATCACTTCTAACCTTTATTATCCATCAATAATTCTCTTTCAAATAGATCGTTGTTGATTGTGCAACAAAGCTTAATGTTAGATTAATTTGCCTGTCACGACGTGTTAGACTGCCACGCAGAGGTCCCAGATTCGATTCCCGGACCGGGAGAAATATTTGTATGGCCTACATTTATTTTTCTCGTGAGTTTGGGAGTCATTTGTGAATGTCTATGTGTGTATCCATGGCACCCGCGACACAGGGTTTCCCTAGTGCGGGGCTATGTTGGGTGTGAATTATATGATTATACCCATTGACCTAAGGTCAATGATTATACCTTTATTTCATAACTAAAAGGAGGTTTACAAATTATATTTTAAGCTTTAAGTGCTGGATATTGCGCTTGAAGAGTAATAAAGGGATTTCGTCCAAAAACGGAGTTACGAGAATTTCAAATTTAGACGACGCGACGTTATGAATCTTATAAAAATGATAAGTTAAATAAAGTAATGAAAAATAATGATAAATTAACTATTAGTTATAATAAATTAAATTAAAAAGTCCAATGCTTTTTGGGGGTTGAGGTAGTGGCCAAGAAGGCCGTTTGTCGCGCTGCTAGTGTGCGGTAGAAGCTAGGCATTTAAAAAAACTTATTATCGTCATAGAGCTGTAGTAGCAGTAAAGCTCCTTGTGAGTTCGTCCAGGGAAGTTCTGCCTTGTCTATTTCTGCCGCCAAGCAGTAGTGTGAGCATAAGTGCGTTTTTATTTCGAAGAGTAAGAGTGCTGGTGAAATTGCAAGCACATGGGACTTGGCAACTTATGTCTCGGGTGTCAGGCGCAATGGCAGTGCCTCTCGGATCTTTATGATTTAAAGCTCTGGAGTGGTACTGCAACTGTTATGAGCAGGCGTGTAGCTTACCATCAGGAGCACGATTTGTTCGTCCCGTCAATTAGTTATTATAAAAAAAAGCCCAATGACAAAAATACCGCCTAGTAGCAGTAAATAGTGCAGTAAATGCACGTGATATTACTATTTACAAGCAGGTGTGATGAAAATAATGTTATTGACTCTGACCTGGCTGCGAGACGTAGTGCTGAGGAGGGTGTTGCGCGGTTGGCGCTGGGTACGGTGGCGCCGAATAGTACGGCGGCGGGACCGACATTGTGTGGCCCACCACTGGTACTGACGAGACCACCGGTGGGGGGACTGGCTGCGGTGGCTACATGAGCGACGTCCAAATTAGTACATTGTTACCTTTGTATCTCTACATAATCACCACTGGCAACCTATACCAGAACTTTTAATCGTAATCAAAAGACAGCAGAGCAGTCATCCTCGTAGGGTATCAATTCACACAAATTAACTTTAGTACATATTTAAAGCCATAGATGGCGGCACTTCGATAAAACAAAAAATTTAAAGTATTGAATCTCGAAAATTTGAGATATGTCATAATAAGTATAAAATATAAAAAATAAATGCATAACTATTTAAAGAAAGTTTTAGAAATGTTTTATTAAAATTAATTTACAAATATAAACAGTAAACTGTCCTAAGGTTTATCAATGATATTTCTTCAACTTTTTTATTTGTAATTTTGCAATAAATTGTGCAGATGGCATGTCTTTGAATTTATTCTCGAAAGTAAGTAACGAATTAGCACTCATTTTTACTTTAAAACATTGACTCAGGTACTTTGCGTATTATTATAAGTTATTCTTATAATTTGTGTATAATTACCGCCTGAACAAGAAGCAATATACCTTGAAAACAATGTAATTGCTGCCACCTGTTGGCAATTTCGAATATTATTACAATCGCATCGCAGGATTACTCGGTACCGTTTTTTGATCAGCGTTATGAATCAAAATAAGCGGAGTTACGAGTACGATATTTCTTTATATGAGATTGGGTATCTGCACTAGTATAGTATTATATTATCTGGGTATGAACTTACTCATATTTTCAAAGCATTACCAATTTTGTTTTCACATTACAATTTGACCCAGAAATCAAGTCTACTTTTACATGTAGTGAAAAGCAGTCACTTTTCGACTGCTTACCATTATAATGTCAACTCACATGTTACTTTGTAAGGTGGTAGATAACTTAAAGCCATTATGAACTCTGAATGTGTGAACGTAATTTTATAAGTATTTCTAATCTTATTGTAATAGTCTTGGCTTAATTACCTTAAGGCTCAATTTACATTGTTGCGGAAGCGAAGTTTTGTAACCACAGTATAACGAACTTTACACAACTGGAATAAAATTCATTATGCTATCAAAGCGATAGCTGATAGGTCCGATGTGGAAACTCGCACAGAGCGTAATTTCATTATTGGTTATTAAATATTAATATAAGCTCCACTAACATTAAAATGGATCTTTGAGAATGTTGTCTGAAATAAATAAATTAATATTATGTACAATTTCGTTACAAAAATTCGCTTTCATTCTGTTACGCGGTAATATAAATTGAGCCTAAATAACTGTGTACAAGGGTTATTTGCAAAACACCGACAACCTTGCAGGACTACATTAATAACATCATAAGCAACAACTTTTGTCATTTTTTACAAAACATAATAAATTGACCATTAATAAACTTTAAAGTATACTATCTGACACTTTATATTTGTACATATATATGGTAGGAAGGATAGTTCAAACGTGTGTGCATTAAAAAAACGTGCAAGCGTTCTCCCCGATGACTCCCAACCCTAGGTTTTGCATCGGACTGGAATTTAAATATTTTTATTTTGTGCGTAAGTAACGTTGTCTGTCGTTTATGATGTTGGCAATACAGTTCAGCGAAGTTGTCGGTATTCCGCAAAGAACCCTGCATCCACGGTGGGGCACTCACGGGGTAGTAGTTGTAGTAGGCGTGCGCGTCGGCCTGGTCCTGGATGGGCACGGTGATGAGGTTGGTGCGCGCGGCGCGGCGCTCGGGGGGCGCGCCCAGCGCCGCCAGCGCCAGCGCCGCCGCGTGCGCAGCGCCGTGCCCGTGCCCGCGCGGGTCCGCCGCCGACGGCATCTGCGCGGGCGGCGGGCCGAGTTAGGGTTATCCACAACCATCGAGCATTAACCACAAAAAATATAGGCGAAATGTCATTTCATTTGTTTCAAACCTATTCTGTCATGTCATTACGGTGACAACTGCGCTCCGATTGGCCAGCTCGAATTCGCTTCAAATCGACCAGTTTAACTTGAGCTTTGCTATAATGGACGAAAACTAAAATGTTACATATTTAATTACCGATGAAATGTGATTCCGTTTGTTTTGTAATTATATGTTTTGCTGTTTTTCCCACACCACCGAATGGAGCAGCCCTCCATTGTTAGAGATATTATCTTCATTACAATAAATACAGAATATTTTTGGAATATGCAGAGACGTACACACAGGTTAGTTGTTGGCGCTGTACCGTTTCTTCTTTCTAATTTGTGATTTCAGTGCAAACGAGAATTGATACTTAAAAGTGATATAAGTCCCATTTGCCTGATGTGTTGCCAGGGATGAATGGCCCTTACTTCGACTCTATTTCTGGTTATATACTCGATGTACACAATGTATAAATTCTGACAATATATTGCCGCAATTTACAGCGTTGTGTGATATGACCTTGAGTTGACCATTTAGTTCCTGATTGGTCAACTCAAGATCATATCAAGGCTATATTGCTAGAAATTGTTCATTGTCAATCCACCTTTACTTCGCCGCGCTAGTAGCAAGATAAAATAGCAAGATAAAATAACAAGACGAGATAGTGGAACAATGGGCATATATTGGATGAAAAAGCTATGGTTGCCCAGTAACAACTGGACATCATTTTAACAATAAAGACACTACTTGTTTTTTCATTATACTATTCAAGTGTACTTTAAGTTGTGGAATAATTGTATATTCATTTAAATAAAAACACCAAAAGGCTTCTTTTGAATGATTAAACAATTATTATAAAATCATTTCAAATGTCATGGATTTGTCGCAGATGGCGGCAAAGTCTTTAAAAACAAAATACAAAGATCTGCAACAAACACACTGGATAATTCGTGAGGTCCGTTGGGTCGTCCTGTGGCTTAGTTGGCATAGCGTCTGACACGGATTGCTGGGAGACATTGGTTCAAATCCAACCGGGTCGAAGTGAAGTTTTTCTAAGTGTTCCATCTTTGTTATTAATAATTATGACAATCTAGTGGAGTAACTTCACAAAAAATAATTGAATATTATGATGGTGAAACATCCTGACATTCAATAAAAACTTAATTACAATTAGGTATTATAAACTTTTAAAAATGAATGTAATAATCATATATACATAAACAATATACAGGTTGATAAAAAAACTACTGACCATTTTAAAGGAGCATAATGTATAATGGAAATAAAAAATACGTATTCGTTTTTTTTTTCAAATACTTAACAAATAAATAAGTTATGACTTCTCAAAGTTTTCCGAAAAATTGTGAAAAATATTGACACCTGATTATTAGCAGACGCCGTTGCTATAGCAACAAGAACGGTGAGTGGGCAGTGGGCGAAGTCAGCGCGAGAGTTCATGTATTTGACAGACAACAAAGTATTAAACTAACGCGCGATGCGTTAGCGCAGGTCTGTCGTCGCGCGGCGCGACGTGCTGGCGCTTAGGCGTCTAGACAATTCGCCGCACCGCACAATTTTATTTACTATTTTGAGTTAACCACGCGTTAGAAATTGTTGGGAAATATTAACATAAAAAAATGGGGATTTGTTTTGTTTTACTGTACTAATTGTATTACTGAATCTTATGCACAGGAAAAGAAATGACCGACAGTGATTTTTTTATCACCTGTATACGATATTTGAAATAAATATTGTAAAATTAATGTATACAAATGTTTATTTACAAGGAGCAAACCCTAGAGTTTCTTACTCAAGGGAATTTGTCGTACAAATGAGTTTAAATAATGTGACTATTTCAGTCATTTGCTTACCTAAGAAATTAAGATTGCAAAGATAATTCGAGTTTGATAACATATAGCTAGCTATATTTTATCGATTCACTTCAAATATATTTAAATGAAGTATACTTACAGCAAGGGGTTTGACAACAGCTACAGAAGTGGACTGTGGCTCTGGTTCAGGTTTGATATCACTACCGCCTTGTGAGACGTGCCTGTGGTTTATGTGGGCTTGGAGGTCTCTCTGTAATTACACATATCCATGTAATGGTAGTAAATATCACGTAAGAGTATACATAGCGCCGATGCTTCGTCATTTCGTTCAGGTTCTGGTGAGGTGATGGGGTAATCGGCGGCGCCTCGAGCGAAATAATGTGTGTTTTTATGTTTTGTTTCTGTATTTACTAATAATAGTCATAAGTTTAAAAATGTCTGTATTTATTAACCATTGGGCCTTGGATGCCAAATAAATGGTTTATTTAAATTTATTATTGTTATTAACCTTTTGACCGCCACAGACGCTTTAAAGCGTCGATGAAACCATGTGTTCTTATTTGTATATTCTAGTTAAGTAAGGATTCATAGTTGCATTTCATATTCAGTTATGTTTTTCTTGGTCTTAGGACAATTAAATTAATATAAGGTTAAAATTCATTTATAATTATTAATACAAAGATCGAACACTCAGAAAAAACTCCTTCCATCCTTCTATCTTCTATTCAATTCTATTCGACGTCTTCTAGCAAACCGCACAACAAAGCGCCAGACGCTATGCCAACTAAGCCACGGAACGAATCAGCGGACCTCACATTTGTCTGTGCTTGTTGTCGGATCTTTGTATTTGGTTTTTAACGACTTTCGAGCCGTAGTGATATCTATGAGAATCTATGAAGGTATTTCGTCACCCAGTTAAGTAACTTTACAGCTACCAGTCCTGGCTAGAGATGTCGCTATTAATTGTAATTAAATTTGTATTGAATTGATATTCAATTATTTTTTTTAAATTACTTCACTAGTTTGTTATAATTATTAATACAAAGATCGAATACTTACAATAATTGAAAAATAATAATTGAATATCAATTCAACACAAATTTAATTTCATTAATTATAATTATTATTATTTTCAATTTATTTAACACCATCTCAATAGCATTATCAAGTACATTAATTGTACTTTAATTGTATTGTAAGAACCATAACTGGTTTGACCCAATACTGGTAAATTTACCATCATGACATGTCGCATCACTAGACTTCGCGTCTAGGAAACAAAACAAATTTTTGTCAGTGGCGATGGCGGTCGAAAGGTTAATAATTCATACTTTCATACTCATACATCAATAGATTTAAATAGATCACTCTAAACGGTAATAACTCTGTGCAGTCCGGTGGTGGAGTCGTCGCGGGGGACGCTTGCACATGAACTTATTATACCAAATACAGATTAAAAAGTGTCAGATAGAGTAAGAGGGGATTGCAACAGCACACTAAATTTCCATTACCTGTGATAAATAAGTCCGTCTGCAACCAGTGTTTCCGTATCTGGTGCCAGAGTGTGTGCACATGAAAACTGTTCCTAGGCCGGTCTGTTCTACTCGTAACACTTTCTCCCTACATCTGGGGCAGTGTGTGTGTTCCGCACGGGCACAGGAAAGGCAGAAAACATGCTTACATGGTATCTGAAAAAGAAATTTTATCATTATCATCTATCTAAGCAATGGTGATGCGATTAACATGGAAAAGCATATAAATGCAAAACAAGAGGAACTCAACCTGCGATACAAAAATCTATATTGGCTGGTTGAAACAGCAAGCTGTCAATAGACCAATAAACTACTCATCTACAATACAACATTGATTATTTCGATGGGGCCATAACATTTAAAAAAAGAAGTAGAATACAACACTGAAGCCAGTATGGATGTATGGAATCGAACTATGGGGGAGCGCCTGTGACTCCAATATATCCATGAAAGAATGCAAAACGTTATCTTGCGTAGTATGGTTTATGTACCCTGATATGTCACGAACTCGGAGATCCAGAAACACCTGGAAACGAACATGGTAATGGAGGAAATCAAAAGTACCACCTTAAGCTACTGTAATAGCCTTGAGAACCATCATAATGCATTGGCAAAACAGTTAACAATCTGCAGTTACAACAAAAGGCTTAAACGAAAAGACATAGTCCTGTTGGAGTAAAGTAGTGTGCTCATAAAGAGGAAGAAACTCGTAATGGAGAGTTCGCCTACATTGACATGACCAATTATTAGCACATTTGCTAATAGTGGCGCTGATTGCAAATAATTCACTCCAAAATTAAAAATATCATCCATCAATATATGTCCCAATGCACTCATTCTGCTGAACCTGAGCACATGACTCCAGAGACGTGCGGCTTTCGACTTGCCTTGAACATTGGCCTCTGATAACTGCCTACAGTGCTTACTATTGAGAACTTCTGGCACTGGGCAGAAATTACATCAGAATGCTGATTAGCAGTAACAGGACTGTCATTTGAATAAATACATGTCCAACCTTGAGCAAAGAGATAGCAGAGAGTGTAGATTCTGCCACAAAGTATATGAAACTCCTCTGCACGATCTTAACCAATCATGCCCCTCAATGGGCATTTGAAAGTCCAAGCTGGGAAAGCACAGGCCAACAACTTAAGGACATCAAAACAGTAAAAGCCAAGAGAATCCTTTAGTCTGTTTCTGTACAGGTCTCTACAAGGTTTAGGCAGCAGTCTGCCATAGTTGCATAATTGCTATGAGGATTAAGGAAAACATCATAATGTAAAAAACCAGATCCACTCTTGTGGATTTGCTGTTTTTTTGGTTGCATCTTTAGACAACCTATGTGATATAATTTTTGGGATTATGTTGACAGATACACATCATTAGTCTTCGCGCATGAGCTTATTATAAATTGAAAAATTTACTTACCATTCTACCATAAATAAGAATAGGTTTAGAGCAGATATCGCAGCAGTAAATCATGGGGTTGAGGACTTTCTCCCCGATGAGTGTGGCTCGATGGCTCCAGTCCAACCGAAGCATGGGTTCTGGGGGACCTCGCTGCAGCGTTGTGAACACTGGTGCTTCTAATTGTGATATGTCTGATGGGACTTCCACTAGAATTACAAAGATAGGGTTTTTTAGAATTCTTGTAGTGCATATTGTGTAAACACATACCCCCATTATCTTTTACCAAAATTGTTAGGCACACACTTGGTGTTAAGTCATAATACACTATCAGACAATGTAGTGATCTGTACCAACTTATATGAAACTCGTGCCCAACAGTGGCATATATGTGGGTTGTGAGATGTACAATTACATCCACTGGTACCTCCATTATCACTACATAAATACAGTAGTTGTTGAAAATTTAAGTACCAAAACCAAATTCAATAAGTATGTACCTACAGAGCAGCCATTTTATTATATCTTAAAATTTGTGATTGCACTTAAATACACAAATTCCATTTTTTACAAACAAATTTCCATGTTTAGTCATTCTTAGATTTATCATTTATAATAATTTGAATTCGGAATTATGTATTTTATTGTTGTGATAGAGTTGTAAAACATTTCCCTTTTTATAACATTGACTCCTTAATGATACACTAAGCAATTTAAAAAATATATAAACTAAATAAAGTCTTTTTCATTTATAAAACTAGAAAAGAATCTTGTCTTTCGCCGGTTACTAATCTTTTCTAAATTCTAAGTGACAAATGGCCAAATGTCCATTTTAAATGGCAAAAGATGGAGCACAAAATTCTCTTTTAAAAATAGTTGAAATTAGTTAATCTGTTTGACTTATCGGAATTTATCCGAAATTTTCAATTCAGCCGCAATGCGAAGATTGCCGAGAGATATTAAGAAAATAGTTTTACTGTACATATTGTTGTTTCTGTGGTAACATATGACATGAAAAACAAGTACTAACATTTTGGAGGTTCAATCTGTTCAGGTTCTTCCTCTTTAACTTCCTCAACAATAGTGTCTTCTTGCTCTTGAGACGACTCTTCTAGGGAACATTCTTCTTCATCAGAAGACATGACTTTTGGGACTTTTTTGCCCCTGCCGCGACCTCGGCCTCTTCCCCGTCCGCGCCCACGGCCTCGCCCACGACCCCGGGCATTTCTCTTTTCACTATTCATTGAAAAATACTATACTATTTTTTAAACACTTGAAACCTAACCTCAATGACTACTCGAAATTTATTGCACAAGATTTACAAATAAAACAAAAAGTACATTAAAGAGAAATAGATTTTAGTGGAGTATAAACATATTTTATCAGGAAATAAAGCATAAAATCAGGAAATTATTAGAAATTCCAACAGAATCCTTCGCGTCAAGACAGACTAGTGTAGTGTCATCAATTCATCATGTCAGTCTGAAACTAATTCAATTTTATATGATTTGGTTTAGACTGACTCAATTGCATTGATAGTAAACCAAAGTTTCAATCAAATCGATTGAAACTTTGAATAAAGTTTAATAGGTCAATGATAAAATCAAATACAGATCTTAAAAATTCAAAATATTATTTCTTGAAGCTGTTCCCAAATACATTTGTTAGCATTATTTAAAACAGTTTATTCTAAATTGTTGTAGGTTTCATTTTATACATTGGTAGCCATGAGGAGTCAAGTAAAGTTATTTCTTGAAATCCATGTTTTTCCGGTTATTATAATATAAAGTTAATATATTTCTGTAATCTATGTGCCGACTGAACCACGTAATAAATCTATAAACATGTAGGCATTATCATGTAAGCATTATAGCAACAGTAGAAAAAAAAATCAGAAAAATACAGAAAATGCGAATCATGAGCAGTAATGATATAACGTATTAATGTAATGACTCAATAGAATAAAAGACAAATGAATCCCACCCCTATGAAAAACGCACCTAATGATTTTACGCAAATCTTTTTTTGAGGGTATTTTTATTCGAGAAATATATGCCAAAAGTAATTAGATTTTGCAATTTTATTTGCATGATTGCCATTGGTTAATGATTTAGGCTTAAAGACAATTAACTGTAAATGAATGTGAAATTTTATGATTGTTTGAAATTGAAATGAAATGAAAACTTTCGCTAAATGGAACGTGAAATGATCTCAAATTGAAGGGCAAAAAAAAACAAATTGTCAACAAACAAAAATTGCCGACGCCCGCGGATTTTCTTGAAAAATCTTTATTCCCTAGCGTTGCTTTGGGAATATGATCGAGGATGGGTGAAGATAATGCTCAACACGTGAGTATTTTTATATTTATATATTTCGCGGTAAAGTGAAATGTTGAAGCGTGTCAATTTGGACGGGTTTTGGCGCTTCGTGTAGTCCAATGCTGGGACGCCTAACCTCAAGTTTATTTTTGTTTCCTAAGAATCCTGTTATTACCTGTTTTTATTTAGGTATGGTTTTACCTGTTCAGTGAGTTCGAGGAGAACTGAAAGATAAATTATGTGCTTTTAAGATGAGTTAATATGTGAACATAAATAAGTTTTTTATTTATCAGAACTTTACCTACTCCACTAAACTATTACATAAGACGGCGTCATGAGGTAGTGCCCGATTCCAAAATTAGCATGACCGTTGTAAATATAGATGCCTCCCACAGTTTCTCGACGTCTTTATTAGAGACTTTTCGAACAGGAAATAATCCATAATGTGGGTATCATAGGATTCTAATTAGTATACTTTTAATATTTACCAATAACTTAAATGATAATAAGTGATCACCACACCAATTACAAGGTTTCAACATACCTATATAACATATATTATAAATTACAAGCTAGCATAATTAAAATGCACAGAAAAAAGAAATTTATGTGGTCTGTGTTAAAATGATTGTATCAGATAAAATAAAAAGTAAATATAAAGATAATGATCTCGGTCTTATTAACCACTGTAAAGTGATGTCAGTCTTCAAAAAATCAAATATGTCAATAATATTGAATCAATAGATTATGTTGATTATGTACCCTTACAATTAGAATCATTAATGCATACAGTATGAGAACCGATTGATGAAATATTAATTTCAATATACCTGTACAGTTGCTTAGATATGTTTATAAATACTATGAAATGCAAACAGGTTTTAAAAAATACTATTGTATTTGGGTTTGTATGTCACACTCATAAAAAAAGTTTCAAGTTAATTTGCGATGCATTCTTTGTTGTATAAATCCTTTAAAGGGTTTTTGACAGTAGTCTCCTACAAGTTTTAGTTTATGTACTCATCGTGATTTGAATAAAGAAATAATAAAAAAAAAGGAATTCCCTGTACTATGAGCACCAGTACCAGAAACATTATAGTAACAGTAGAGTTTCTTGTGAAAGAGTTAAGTACTGCAACTTTATTTTTCCCGCTAGGCGGTAATATGAGCTTTACTGCATTCCAATCTTAAAGGATAAGGGTGCTGGAGGAATTACAGGTACATAAGACTTGTCAATTTAAGTCTCACGGTGACAGGCGCAGTGGCAGTGCCCCTCAGATCTTTGCGATTTAAAGCTCTGAGTGGTAAGGACTGCAACTGCTAAGGACAGGCATGTTTCTTAACACACATGTTGGCTTACAACTTGTTCATCCTCTCTACTTTTGGTATTATAAAAAAGAAACATTACCCAGATTCGACCTAATTTACAAAAGTTTTTTGCCCAAATTGGTCGTACAGGGAAATGACCCAGGAGCCTCCTCATCTAGCGCCCATTATGCTGACTTGCAAACAAAAGTCTTTATATTTATATCTTTGTAAACACCATTGTTTGTCTTTAATTTATGCAGAGCACATTTTTCTTTGCCCTATCGTGGGAGGAAATCAATAAATATTTAATTTGGCTGTATAATAAGATGTTTACAGCAGAGATCCACAATTCATGAGGTCAATGTCAACAACCCTTAAATTCTAAGTCACAAAGTATAATTTGTGTAAAAACTTGTTGTTCCTGATTTTTATTTAAATATTAACTGTGTATTCTTATTCTAGATGGTAAATCTTAGACATTGACATTGGGGTTGTTGTAGGATAATTTTTTACTTGGAAAAACATTTCATAAAAAAAATTTCCTACTGAATTATTTATGTAATAATAGCATTATGTCCTCAGTACTGGACTACACTTATAAGTAAAGACAAAACTGGAATAAAAAATTAAAAGATTCTTCACATACAGATACTAATTTAAATTAGATAATGTTTATTTCCTTCTTCCCATCCATAATACAAAAAGTTTATAATATTTTAATTTACTTTATAAGATTTAAATTGATTATAACATTATGATTCAATCTACAACATTGAAACACACAAGACTTAATTCAGTATTTTAAAATAATTTAATGATTATCTTTAACCCATTTATACGTCCCACTGTAGTGCACGGGTCTTCTGTTAGGCGAAGTTTTAGCCTGTAGTTCGCCACGCTCTGGCTCAACCTTGTTCCACATGCAGGTTTCATCACTTGTTTTCCTTCACCGAAAAGCTCATGGTAAATTTCAAATTCAATTTCGTACATAGATATTCAGAGGTGCGAGGCCGGATTCGAACTCACGGCCTCTGCTTGAGAGGCGGTAGGTCAAATCATTAGGCTACCACAGCTTGTTTTTAATGATTAAGAACAAAAAAACACTATTATATCTCTTTCACTGGGTTCGCGGAGTAGCAAATTAATTTACTTCCATTTTTATTTTCCTTTATACACGCGCGATTTTACGCGCAAACGCGATGCAAGCGCGCGACTACAACGATTCAAACGCGCGAATGCATCGCTACACTTGAGTTTTATAGGCGATTACATCGATGCAATCGCGCGTTTCACGAACGCGGGTTTGCATCGCTGCTAAGAGTCGCCGTGTGTAACCACTCTTAAAGCATAAATTATTGTCGTATCGGTGGCATACACAATCATGTATGCCATAAAGGGAGATTCCTTTCGTGCACACCAAATCAATTGAATTGACATCTTAAGTTAAACAAAAAGAGCCTACATAAAATATTTGTTATACATACGCAATATATTGCTGTTAACATTATATAAGGCGTTTTTCATTCTTACGTTCAAAATACATATTCTTATATATCAAAGCATAATATGCATAAAAATAGCGAACAAATACTCATTCAATAAGAAGCATGCAGTTCCTATGAAGGTCGCGCTATTTCTGTAATCAAATGTAAACAATATTTTGTTACATAACAAATCGTATTATGGTTCACATTTAATGTCCTTGTATTATTAGTATTATTACTCTATGTGGGTATCTGTAGTTGGAGTTAACTAGTGCGTAAATCTACCTATTTGGATATATAACGTGTTAAGTACTACAACAGGTTAATGTCTATTACTATACGGGTATATACCTATGTATATACCCGTATATTATACGTGTACTTCACATTCAACGCTTATTAATTTCCTTAATATAAGTTAATATAAGCAAGTTAATAATGGGACATGACATTTCGAAAATTTTTTTTCTTCATTGCGTAATTAATACTACAGAGTTTAAGATAACATTATTACCCCTATGAAATTACGTTCTACAATATTACAGATTTCTTTTAAAATTCTACAATATTACAGATTTCATTTAAAATTGAGATTGTATATTGTTTAGGTTCTTTTTAACTTATGACTTTTTGTTTATTTTAGTATTCGGACTGATGTTATTTTATTCGATGGCTTGAATACAGTATGCAAATTATCAACCGTATGTATGTAAATAATCTCAGTACAGAGTACTGCCCTATATAATGAAAATCGGTTCACAAATACCGGAGTTATCGCGTAACATACATACAAAAAACTGTGGGATCACAGTGATTCTTTATGAACTTTTTGTAACATCTTTTGTAACCTGTGTGTCAGAAAGAATGAAAGAAATAAATGAATTTGAATACTTTATTATTATTAGTGTGACCCCCTCAGGGCTCGTGCACCAGTTTAACATTGCGATCAGCAATTGCATATTTTCACTCGTCCTAGAGACACGGTGACCTTGATAATTTTTGTTTTTTTAAATTAAATGTTTGTGATAACATAGTTGCGTGTTTAGGAGACACCGTGTGTCACTAGGATGCGTGACGGGCCAAGATTATACGTATTAAAATATACGTCATATGGTCCTTCTTCTGACTGTCAAGTAGGTAAATTTTTCAGTGCTACGTATTCTCGGAGCACTTCACATCTTTAGCTGGAGCTCGTGTCAGTGTCCATCTATCAATTAGCTATCAATGAGTCTTATATAAAGTAAGATTGAACGACTTACGTTGTTATTACAATGTCAGGTATGACAGATAGTGAGGATATAGCCATGTAAGCTTGAAATGACAATCTCGTCGACAATAATCGTTGTCTGAACCTTATTTTCCATTTGATTTAAGTCGATTGTAAAGATCTATCATGTATGTAACAAGTTTCACAGACAAGTAAGAAGCATGTTCACGACGAGTTTCTGAAAATTAAATACCAAAAACTCATAGCGATCGATCCTATCCGGTTCAAAGGACCAATGCTATTAACATAACTCTTTTTGGTATCTATTCAGTACAACCATGAAGTATTGTCGATAGTTGCTGGTAACAGTGTAAAATGTATGGCAAGTTATAGAGGGATATCCTTTACGATACCGTAGAGTCTGCGGTATCCGCTGACATGCTACGGGTCGTTCGGAATTGACTCCGGTCCTCTTGCGACCACGCATTCGAAAAGTCCTGCGCACACTAATGGACATCGGTGGATTCCGGCACATACCTGTGGATTTCGGCGCACACTGGCGCCCTTAGCCGCGAAATCATTTAGCATGCTCTTCAATACCGCAGAGAGAAATACGCTGCGATACTCCGAGGTTGATCTCAGAGCATTGAAATTTATGTCTTATTTCAATTCTGAAATAGCATAAAATACACATTGATAAAAATGCCCTCTGCCTTCCCGTCCGCCGATTTGCGCGGGCCCTTAGAGGGAGTGTACAACTAAACTCGTTTTGCAACTAAACTCACCGTCATGTCTTGTTTTTAGTACTTGTAGCATTTCAATACTGCTTTAGATGCACTAAATATAGTGCTGATATGTTAACACTAAACAGTTTGTTACTGTAATTATATTTAATTATCTATGTTTGCATTGTATCCCTAATCAATTTATTGTGTTTTCTACACTAATAGGTATTTTGGTTTCAATTATTGTTATTGTAGATTATGAAGCCAGACACATTTGTTATTCTGGTCGTATCATTGTTATTGTAC